GTTTGTCTCACTTCACGTACGAGTGTGTATACAGAATATACAGCAGTATATTACGAACAAAAGACCGCAGCCTCCTGCAGTACAGCATTTGTCACCACATGGTGTGGCTCTAATCTGCTTTACAATGAAAGCTGATTCAGTATTGAATGTGAATGTAACTGTAGGGCGGCTTGCAGTACAGTCATGTGTCCACAAGATGGGGCTGTTGTTAACTCTATCAGCTCATCCACAAAACATCCAGTTATGACAAACAGAGGAGAAGAAATCAACATTCGCTACAGGGAGCCAGTGAAGATTCTGGAGGTTTGTGTGGTGTTTCTGGTTGATGTCAAAGATGAGTCCAAGGTTGCGGATGTGTGGGGATGGAGACAGGGGGGAGTTGTTGGTGTTTTTATTGTAATTGAGTTGTAGGAAGTTGGTTTGCATCCAGGTTGGTTTGCATCGGTGAGCTAATCCGTAATACTCAAGGCATCATGTATTCCTCTGCACTGGGCATTTAAATATATAAAATTAGTGATGACCACTTTCATTGATTTTTAATAATTTTATTCAAACTTTACTCATCTTTGGGATTTCAGGATGACTGGCTTTAGCAAATAAATGTGTGAGACTATATAATATTCAATCAGCACATGGAAAGCACATATACCCCCACATTACACCCATCTATGTTCATTTTGACACAAGTTGTCATGAATATTTTTTCTGAAGAAAATCACATCAGTCGGTTATTGACCAGAATCAGACGTTCCTTACAGCAGCCACCAAATGGGAATACTGATTTGAAAACAGTGTCCTGGTTAAACAGATCCCAGTCTGTGATATGTTTTCGTCTGGTGTTAACTACACTCAAAATAATATGTTGTACTTCTATTATTGAAAAATTTGTGAAAGTAAATTATAATAATGACCAGAAATTGTGTAAAAGATTTCACACATCATATTATTTCAGATAACTGAGGTCTAGACACAATAAATAAATAAACAATAGTGATGAACTTTTAATAATGAGTGGGAATAAAGTAGGTTAAAAGGTGTGATGCTTTACGTTTGATTTAACAGTTAAAGAGCAGCCAGTTTTTGTCAGGAACAACTTTAATAGGAAACAAAAAATGAACGCAATAGGAGGGTTAATTGGATAAATGGAAATATCTAAGGAACTATTTAATCTGTAGTTGCAGTAAATGTTGCGCTGTCCAAAATCTTCAACGATCACCACCACTGAGGTGAAAAGAAGCTTAGATTAACATTTCTTTACACAATAGATCCTTATCATAATGAGTTTTTCTTACTAAAAGCAAAAATTAGAAAACATAAAGCTATTTTAAACCCGAACTATATTTTCCTATTTTGTAAAGATGTTTGTCTCACTTCACTTATGAGTGTATATACAGAATATTCAGATGTACTGTATATTATGAGGAGACCACATCTTCCTGCAGTACAGCATTTGTCACCACGTGGCGGCGCTGTAGGCGGCTTTACAATAGGTGCGTTTGACTTCATGCGGCGCTGTCTTAACGTGATGCATGCTGGACTTAAAATAAGGCATGCTGGTTAGAAATTGTGTCAAACTTTCGCCGGCGCTGCAAAACGTCCCCATGTCACATGACATTAAAACCTCGTGGGAGCAAGGCCCTGGTCCTGTTTTAGAAAAATAAAAACAGATCTTTTAAACATTGTTTATTAATTGTTATATTTATTAAGTTTCATATTTATTGTTAATGTGTTTTTAATATTTATTCAAATTATTTAGAATTTTAATTGTCTTATATGAACTGTTGAAGTCTTCCATAATTAAATTTCCCTCTAACATGGCCTGTTTGGTCAGGGGCTTGCTTATGCTTGAGGTTTCTATTTCTTTCATTGCTAGATATGTAGAGTACGAGCATACCTATCCTACCAGGAGTCAAGAAGTTTCTGTAGCTACATGATTACTGTATCATGGACAGTCCTGTTTGTGTTTAAGTCTGTCCTGGTTAATGACTTGACTTCTTGCTTTAATGTATAGTCATGTTTGTGCACCTAACAAGTCCTGTCTCAGACTGAGTACAAAAACACAAACAGCAGGTATGTATGTAGAATGTAGGCTAACCCAGGGGTTTTCAAAGTGTGAGGCGGGCCACCCCAGGTGGGCTCTGAACAGTTTCAGGAGAGGCTCAGTGAATGGAAGTGAAACAATATTACATTACTTATAGAGATCACATAGAATAGCCTATATGTGTGAGAGTTCAGAGATACAGTAGTTTTTGGGAACTGTTTCCCCCCATCAGAGTCAGAATCAATAAATACATTAGGACAAGGGTGCTGTTTCCCAAGCTTTGTCTGAGGGGAAGCCCACAGTCTCAGACTTTGAAAACCCCTGGGCTAACCCATTCCAAAATGATTAAACTATTATAAGTAATAAACCTCCCCTGTACCTGCCAGATTATTAGGTACACCTACATAAAACTGATGTAGTTCAAGTTCAAGACCTTTATTTGTCCAGGAGGGGCAATTAGTTTTGCTGCAGTAGCAAAGAAGTTGACACACAGTACATAACAACAAAGACGACAACATCGATTAAAGTAGTGTAATACAACAGCCCTGAAATAGTCTATAATATCTATTTTTATAATCTGTTTTTGAGGGATAATTGCCTATCCCGTATGAGTCAGGATGGACAAAATATTAGATACACCTCTCAGTATAACCCAGTACAGTTCAACAACTACAGATGACACAAATAAGACTTAATACAGTATTAAACGGTATTCGTTTTTTTCAATGTTCAACGTTAGACAGGTTAACAAAAAGGATTAGACAAACGTACAAAGGTAGAAAGAAATGCTAATAGGGCACGTCTCCTCTCCATCCTCCACCGCATCCTGTCCCTTTGTTCGCGGATCTGCCTCCTCAGTTCGGCCGCCTCCTCTTCAGCCTCAGTACAAAGGCAACCGATGGCAACAGCAATCACGGCGCGATTCACTCTCATCTGGTCCATTTCTAAGCTATCTAATATTCTTACTTATGACTTGTTTCTCCGTACTCCTTTCTTCATTCACCTACTCCCACAACTTTTTTTCCCCTGCCGCTGGCTTTTTATATAGGATACATATGTTGGAACACTCAAAATATATAATTATGAATATTTTTAAAACTATTTTAACAGTGAAAATGAGTAGAGTGGGTTGTTTTTCAAGGTTCAAGTTTTAGTGACATCTAGTGGTGAGGGTTGTGAATTGCACCCTCCTCCCCTATTCAAGCGAGCAGTATAGCTAAGGTGCCTGAGACAGGACAAAGATGTCATCTGTGAGAGAAGAGATTGCCAGTCAAGAAATGAGGTTTCTTTAGATAGATATGTTAAGAAATTAGGTAAAACCATGTTTCTGATTGTTACTTGCTCATTAATAAGACAGCCACATGAAGAAATGAAGTGCTACATGAGGTCTTATACTCCTGTAATACATTATTTTACATATTGGGAGTGTTGGCTCATCTGGACTAACATACCAAAAATAATGAAGAAATTCTCAAAAACTATCACATCTAGTGCATCAAGTATGACCATTGACAGATACCAGGACAATTTAAGCCTCGGTTTCTGCACCACAGCCCATTATAAACCACATAATACATGAAGGTGTTACGTGTGGTGTGGGGACAGAGAGGACCCACATGCAACGTTCGAAGGGAAGGAGGTTTATTGAGGGAAAAAGGGGTTGAAGGACTGGAGTGGAGGGAGAGGTGGATGCCGGGGAAACACAGGCACGGGGAACCGAGGAGACTGGGACCAGGGAGCCGGAGAACACTGGGGCCGAGGAGGCGAGGGAGAACAGGGAGGACGCCGTGGGGGAAGTCCGAGGAGGAGAGGACCGGTGGATGAGCCCAGCCGACTGAACGGAGGACGAGGGTGAGTGAACCTGGGAGGGAAACAGACAGGGTTAGGGTTAACAGAGACAAAGCACAGAGAAAATGTGAGGAAACAAGAAACATGAAAGCCTGAACACAGAGGTGGCACCGGGTATGGAGCAATGACGATCAAGCAAGGATGGTGTGGAGGACCGGGGTTGAAATACAGGCAGGGATGAGGTTGACTACTGGCAGGTGTGGCAGGCTGACGAGGTGGCTGATGAGGTGCAGGTGCGGGTCGTTGGCTGGGCTCAGGAGCAGAGGGAGAGAGAGCGCACACAGGGGAGAAAACACAGGGAGGCAGGCAGGGAACAGGAAACCAAGGAAAAAGCAGAATAACTGATAAAAAGCAGAAAAAACCCAGGACACTCACCGTCAGCCGGGCTGCCACCACAACAGAAAGTTACGAATGCATAGTCAGGTGAGGATCAAGGCTCCTCCCGCTTTGCTTAATTAGATAAGCAAGCAAATACCAAAATGTTTTTTTTTAATTTTGTTTTGAAATACAGAAAACAGAAACTGAGCCATAATTTCAGCTTGTTTTTAAAACGTTGCCGCTCCAGTCAGAAAGACGGAGGGGAAATGAAACTGCAACATAAACTTTTTTTAAAAGATCCAGGACTTTTGACAAAACTTTCAGGGCCCATTTATTACCCCATTATCGCTGGAAAACGGAGTAAAACATTTTTTTGAATCAATGGCCGCTTAGGACTTCCCTACTCTGTAGCCTATGTAGCTATTGTAACTCTAGTTACAGTATATGTTTTATATGATATGCTCATTCATTAAATCAAAGAAAAATGGTCTACAGGGTGCGCAGTCTCTGATTTGTTAATGCTATAGAAGGCTACTAACTTGTCAGTAATCATAACCATTCATGCAGAATGAGTTCAACATTTCGAAGGTTTGCTGTAGCACCATGGCAACTTTATGTACATGCTTGAATAAAAAAGCACACAAAAATTATGCAAACAAAACTTTCAGCTGGACATGGTGCCTGTAAATGTGTATTTTGGTTGTGTGTTTTGTCAGTGTGCGTGTCTTTAGTTCCTGCTTTTGTGAGAGATGGAAAGATAAGCGACTGGATCCTTCAGTTCCTAGGAAGATCCGTCATTAACTGTAAATAATGGCTGGTGTTTCTCTGGTTCAGCAGCTCCAGACAGGACGACTGAAGCTACAGACGCTGAGAAGGAAGAAGAGAAGATCGTTCTGCAGCAGGTTTGCTCACAAACTGTCATTATATATTGACCTGACTGCCGCTACAGGTGGTCTCTTCCCTAGAGAAGTATTACTAACATGTCCCTGTCTGTCTTTATTAAAGGTAATCATCATCTTCAACATCTGCATCATCTCCACCATGAAGACGCTGACTCTGTCTGCACTTCTTTGTGCCATGATGGCTCTGACCAGAGCTGCTGGTGAGTATTACTCCATATGTGAGTGAGTGTGAACGAGAGACAGCTTATGTTCATGTGTCTATACACAGCAACAAGGGTAGATGAAGACATGAACTCACTAGTGGGTCAAAATGTCCTTCCAGCTCTTCCAGACGCAGAGGATGAACCTGGGACAGAGGGATCTGTTGTCCAAGGTGAGTGCATATTTCTTTAGATTTGTAATGGTGCTCTCTTGTAATCACATATGAGGCGTGAGTATTACTGCATGTATAGAGAATTAAATTAAATGTGTTCATAAATACAAAATGAAAACAGCAGCAGACAATTTAAATCAGTAACTGCTATGTCAAACTGTGCAGCTCTTCGAGACACAGAGGCTGGAAACTGGAACGACTCATTACTTTTCCAGAATTATGCTACTTTGTCTTGATGTACTCTTGTAAACAAACAGAAATACTGCATCTACTACTGTAGACTCATTATTCACTCTTGTCTGTTTGACGTCAGGAGAGAGCCATGTTGTCAAGAGGTCCACATGTTGTCCCGATGGTTGGACTCCTTTTGTTGTTTTCTCTACGTTGCACAAGCCATGATTTGGGCTGTGGCTGAGGTGATCAGGATTATCTTTATCTTTAGCTTCTACACGACATTTATTCTGTGCACTACTTTCTAGCTGTAGCGTCATTTACATTAGTAACCTATTAATGTAGTTATAAAACCTGTGGGGTTGTGATGACAACAGTCAGGAGTTTCTGTCTGTAACTGTGAGAGATGATGTTCAAACGGACAATATATCCCAGGATGATTTGCTGTCTGACTGCTGTGTTTTTGGTTCTTGCAGATCAGAAATGCTGGGACGACGTGCAATGTGATAGGCAGCTCCCATCTGTCTGTGTTGGAAATGGCTGTTAAACACGTGAAGAACGTGTCAAAAACACAAACACTGATCAATTTGTGTTTGTCTGTCTGTGAGGAAACTCGTCTCTCTTCAGCCAGCAGTCTCATATTTGACCTGAAGGCTCTATATCTCATTTCACATCTTTATTTCTTCTCTATCACTGTAACACTACTTAAGGAACAAAGCGACATGTGACATAAACAGCAGCTGGATTGTCTCTGTCTCTTTAATACGAGCAGACTGAATGTGTAATGAAAAGAAAGCTTTTAGCACAACTTTAGTCTGCAGTGAACTGTTCTTTCTTCTCTTATGCAAAATTAAAAGTCTCAAGCATTGAAACAAGCTGATCTGTGTTACATTTCCTGATTGTATGGTTATAATCTTCTTGGTTCTCAAAGTGTGCACAGCAATAATTTCTATCCATTAAAACCCAACGAGAGACGGTACACGAGCAATGTGATCCAAACCTCTAATGGATATTTATATTAAAAGTTTCGGGAAAGTGACAGCTGGATAAAATAAATGTTTATTTAGAAATATGTTGTCATTAATATTCTTTCTGAATAAAGTAACAACAGTTTTGATAAGAAGTTGCTAACGGCATGGTTTAAAAAAAGTATCCTGTCTAAATAGATCCCAGTCTGTGATACGTTTTCCTCTCATCTTAAATACAGAATAATGTGTAAATTGTACTTATTTTATTGAAAAACTAGTGCTAATATTTCAGATAACTGAGATCTAAACACAACAAACAAATAAATATTAGTCATGCTGCGATGGACTGGCAACCTGTCCAGGGTGTACCCCGCCTTGCGCCCGATGTCAGCTGGGATTGGCTCCAGCCCCCCCGCGACCCTGTACGCAGGATAAGCGGTTGACGATGGATGGATGGATATTAGTCACATGTTAATACATGATATTAGAACATGTATTAACGAGTGGGAATGAAGTAGGTTCAAAGGTTTCACACATCATGTGGTGATAATTCCTCCTGTTGTTGTGTTGTGTTATGGGCAAAATAAATAAATAACCAAGGTATATTTAATCTAAATATCTATTTAATCTATATCTATATATATCTATATAGATTTGATAGATCTGTATTTGTTTTATATAGTACTTCTCATTTTATTCTCTTTTATTAATAAATTCTTCAAAGACAATGGTTTGTTGTTACACAATTATTGGCTTCATCCCTCACCTGCAAGATACAATTTCCACGACAAGGTGTACTTTATGTAATTTATGTCCGTAGTAAGTAAGTATTGCTTTCTTTCATTTATTTAGATATTGATGAGTTCAGAATGTATTCATGCAGTTTAGAAAGAGAGTAAAATATTTCTTGTTGTGCAACAAGCTGATTATTCAGAATCAGGTTTATTGCCAAGTTGTTTTGGTATTTTTCTGCATAACAATAAACACAGTAAGAGAAAGGGGTCTGTATCTGCAGAGAACCTGCCCTCTGCCTGTTTCTTTCTCATTTTGCTGTATTTGGGACGTTTCAGGGCATCAAACTCAGGGCAGTGGGTGTGTAGGCCCCAGCCAATGACAACGCAGGGTGTGAGGTTGGGACTGTGTAAAGACGTAGCGAGCAGGTCTTGAATCTGGGTGAAGCAGAGTTCCATTTATCTAATATATAACAATGCACCGATGCTGTCGAATGTATGTAGAGGTTAACAAAAGTCTCTTACTTCTGCTAAATAAACTATTTAGCATAGTGAAGATATTTTATTTGTTGAAAATATGTTTTGTATGTATAATATACGACCATAGTTGTCAAATAAATGTAGTTTAGTGTAAAGTGTAATATTTCACACAGAAATGATGTGGGGTAGAATTGTAAAGTCTCAGAAAATGGAAATACAAAATATATATAACAAACTTTTACTCAAGTTAACTACTTCGTACTTTCAAATGTTCATTATAGTCCAGCACTGCCAGTAAAAACTCACCAACATTACTTTAAAGGAAACAAAGAGGATGATATCAGAGTTAGGAAAAATAACTCCTTGTTTAATTTCACTGGAGTTCATACCGTAATGGCAGCAGCCCAATACAAACTCCGTCAAAGCAAACTCTATTCTAATGAAAAACATTTGCTCACTGTTATAAAAAAGGAAAACAAAATTCATACACTGCTGTAGAAGTGTGAGACAGACAGGACAGCCCAGTGCTGGATCCGGGAGGCCAATGGAGCAGGTCTCTGTAATGATGCGGGTACTGTTGCCGTTGCTTGGTCCAACCTGAGTCCCATTTCGTCCAGACCGGACCTTTAGGAGCGGCCTTAAATCCAAGCTGGGCTAGGAAAAACGTTAAATTTCACTGAAACACCATGATTCAGTCTCACATATTCAACAAGGCTCATCTGACAGCAGTCCAACACAAACACTATCATCTCCTAAGAGAAAACATTTGGTCAGTGCTATAAAAATAAAGGTGTGAGACAGAACAGCTCATCAGCCTTGAGGGCTTCATTTACATTGTAAGAAGATAAAATCAAACAAAGCATCACACATTCATCAGATGTTTGTGTGTTTGGTCAGTACAACATATCCGTGTCAGCTCTGGAGCTAATACAGGATGGCAGCAGACAGACAGTATGTCTTGTAACAATAAATCAGTCAGTCAGATCTATAATATCTCAACAGAAGGAATATCAGTGACACTAAAGGCTGATGTAAATAACTGATTTGATCAATTCAAAGAAAAAATATTCAGAGAGAAATTAAGCTAAACCGATCTATTTGTGTTGTTTATGCATTTTTTATCATCATTTAGAGATACTCACATGAGACAGTTGTTTGGGATGAGGGTTTAAAATGGCATTAATATTTACAATAAATAATGATTATTTTTATTACATTTGGCTGACACTTTATCCAAAACAATTACTATATACCTCAGAGGATGCATGTCTCTGGAGAAACTAGGAGTTAGGTGTCTTATCCAGGGACACATTGGTAGATATGTTACCGTGGAAATCAAACAAAGGCATGCATCTTACCCACTGTGCCGTCACCACCACAAACCCCTTTCATTTAAAAGTGAAAATGGATAGGCAATTTCTTAATTTAGTCTCATTAAATATACTAAACTATTAATTTGGAATTCTAATTTATTTATAATTTATAATTTATAGATAGTGGGTTGAAGGATTTGGAGTTCAAAGTGGAACAGGTTGACGATATATTTTGTCTTATCTAGTTGATCTTATTAACTAGTAGATTGATAACGTACAACGCACTGTAACTATTACTGTCCTGTTTTCTTTTTCTTTGTTTTTAGCTTTTTACCATTGCTTTTGATTAAATATTTACACGATGAGAAATGAGTAGGTAATTGAGTGAAAAGATAATGAGAGTGAGATTGAACAGAGTGAAGGAAGTGGTCTTAAATCTCATGCCTGAGTGATTTGCAGGAACCTCTGTCCACCTGTAAACGCAGGTGTGTCCAGAGTATAACTGGATTGAAGTGGCCTGCGGACAGACATGTCCTGGTTTCTCTGTAGTGTCCAAGGGTTTTTGGAGTTTCAGTGGACCCAAAGATTGCTATGGACCCGAGTACAGACTAGCTAGAGAGAGTAGATTATGTGTACTCTGTTTATTCTTTTCTCAAAATAATTGTAACTCAATTATTTGCTCAACTCCTCAGCCTGTTTTTATTTTCCATTTAACTCTTTTAACCCTGATTGTACACTGTACTGTAACTTTTATTATATTTTAATTTGTATTTTTTCAATTTCCCTATGTTGCTTTTAAACTTTTTTATATTTCCCTGTTGCTTTTATGTTTTATGTAAAGCACTTTGAATTACCTTGTTGTTGAAATGTGCTATACAAATAAACTTGCCTTGCCTTATCTTGCAATATTAAAAGAAAACCAGCATGTACACACAAGCATTTATTTAACAAGATAAAGCAAAACACAGAAGATGAAACTAACTAAAATGCACTGAACTAAAGACTAGATGAAGACAATGAGATGTGTGTATCTGATAAGATCAGCGTGTCTCTGTTTTCCTGTTTGTGTCTCACGTGCACAAGCGCATGTGGTCAGACAAAGGACAGATGTGCAGCTGCAACTTTCACGTTTCCTCCTGCATATTGGATTTTTAAGGATGAATGGAAGTATGTGTGATCTGTGTGACAGTTAACGGTCAAATTAAAAGGAGTTAGTTAACATGCAAAAACTGTGTCTGTGTGAAGCATAACAATCCTAACAACAATTTAGCCATGGCCATGTTTACTTAACCTCAAGTTAACAATGATCACAGCAATAACCTTGAAACAGATAAACCATCAATTTACATTTCATCCCGGCTCCGGCTAAATCTTATGAATTCAATTCAATTTTCAATTCAATTTTATTTATATAGCGCCAAATCACAACAACAGTTATCTCACAGCGCTTTTCATAAAAGAGCAGGTCTAGACAACACTCTGTGATGCTATTTACAGAAGCCCAACAGTTCCCACCAAGAGCAGCACTAGGCGACAGAGGCAAGGAAAAACTTCCTTTTAAGAGGCAGAAACCTCGAGCAGAACCATGGCTCAGGGTGGGCGGCCATCTGCCTCGACCGGTTGGGGGTGAAGGAGAGAGAGAGAGAGAGAGAGGGAGAGAGAGAGAGAGAGAGAGAGAGAGAGAGAGAGAGAGGGCAGGAGAGGAACAGAGAGAAAGAGAGAGAGAGGGGAGGGAGGCAGCCTACACAATATAACAATGTAACAATAGTTGTATCAGAGGGTGTCGAGCAGGAACACGGGGGCAGCAGGTGACCCGCAGCCACAGATCCAGACTCCACAGCTCCAGAGCCAGAAACACCTACAGGAAGTGATAGGAGGAGAGAGGAGAGGGACGAGAAAGCACAAGACTACCAGAAAGGGTAGAAGTTGTGTTAGTAACATGCAATAATGGGATGAGGTTGCATACAGAGGGAGAGAAAGAAGAGGAGAGAGGAGCTCAGTGCATCATGGGAAATCCCCCAGCAGTCTAGGCCTATAGCAGCATAACTAAGGGATGGTTCAGGAGTCACCTGAGCCAGCCCTAACTATAAGCTTTATCAAAGAGGAAAGTCTTAAGCCTGGAGAGGAGCTTGATAGCTGAACGCTCTGGCTCCTAGTCTACTTTTGGAGACTCTAGGAACCACAAGTAACCCTGCATTCTGGGAGCGCAGTGCTCTGGTGGGGTAGTAAGGTACTATGAGCTCTTTAAGATAAGATGGTGCCTGACCATTAAGAGCTTTGTAGGTGAGAAGAATGATTTTAAATTCTATTCTGGATTTTACTGGAAGCCAATGCAAAGAAGCTAAAACAGGAGAAATGTGATCTCTTTTCCTGGTTCCTGTCAGAACACGTGCTGCAGCATTCTGGATCAGCTGAAGAGTCTTAACGGACTTTTTCGAGCAGCCTGATAATAAGGAATTGCAGTAATCCAGCCTAGAAGTAACAAATGCATGGACTAGTTTTTCTGCATCATTTTTAGACAGAATGTTCCTGATTTTCGCAATATTACGTAGGTGAAAAAAGGCGCTCCTTGAAATTTGCTTAATGTGAGACTTAAATGACATGTCCTGATCAAAGATAACTCCAAGATTCCTCACAGTGGTGCTGGAGGCCAGGGCGATGCCATCAAGGGAAACTATTTCTTTAGATAATGCATCAGAGGTGCTTGGGCCCCAGAACAATAACTTCAGTTTTATCTGAGTTTAACATTAGAAAATTACAGGTCGTCCAGGTTTTAACATCAACATTGAAGTTTAGCTAACTGATTAGTTTCATCTGGCTTGATCGATATAACTGCATAACAATACATATGCATCATCTGCATAACAATGAAAGTTTATGGAATATTTCCTGATAATATTGCTTAAAGGAAGCATATATAAAGTGAACAGGATTGGTCCGAGGACAGATCTTTGAGGAACTCCATGTCTAACTTTGGCGTGCATGGAGGACTCATCGTTAACATGTACAAACTGAAATCGATCTGATAAATAGGACTGAATTAATAAAATATTTGGATAATAGTACATTAAGTTAAAAGTTTATTGTTGGTATAATACTTCATTGAGCCAATGTCTGCTTTCATATTGTTTATAGCTCATTTGTAAAATTTCAGCATCTTATTAGTTGGAATTCAACCATTCAACTAATTCACAGTAAAACTGTTTTCTGTCTTGGTAAGGTTTTATTAGGGCTAAGATTAATGTATTCATTATAATTTCAGATAATAGTGTCCTATATTAGGGAAGCCCTAAGCGGCCATCCATTTAAATATTTCTTTACTCCGTTTTTCCGTGATAATGTGATCATTTTGTTGTGGCCTTGAGATAACAAACCATAGCTGAATACTGGGGTTGGCCTATTCGTTACTTTACAGTGTGGCCAGTTAGCTCAGTTGGTAGATCCTTTCAATCTTTCAATCCAAGGATTGTGTATTTGACTCTCAATTACCTTTTTTTCTTCCTTTTTGTGTTTTTTATTATCCTCTTAAGCAAAGTTGTTTTGAAGAGATTCAGGGGAATCAAATCACACATTTGACAGCCTTCAGGAAATGTGTAACGTTAAATGGATTCCACTGAATGAGAAGCGCAGGAATTTCTTGTGCCTGGGAATGATGGGGAAATGAAAAGTCCATAGGTTGATGGATGTTGACTAATTGCACACAGTCCAGCATGTGCTTTATTGTGAGCATGTGAAACAGTCTCTTCACAAGAACTTAGAGCATTATGAAAAAGATAAAAAAGAAAAAAAAGTTTGTGTTCAGTTAGGATCAAACACGAAACCCTAATCCCTAAAGTCCACTGACTCCAGCCGCAAGCAAACACTGATTACCCAATCAACAAAATGTAAACATGTCAGCAAAATCAGGCAGGCAAAACGTTCTGATTCTGAAATGCTCCTTGTGGGAAATGCACGCTCCGTTGCTGAAATGCTTCCGAGATGCTTCCAGTGGACTCTGACACTGACGGGCTGTGGACGGATCAAAGCAGTGGCGCAGCCGTAATGTGCCATAACTGGAGTCAGTGGACTTTCAACATTACATAAGTCCTGTGATTTACCAACTGAGCTAACTGGTGGCACTAAAAACCTCAATGAAATTACCATTCAGACACGTTCCTGCCGACCCGTGTTAAACTACTATTTTGTTATCTCGAGATCACGAGAAAATGATCCCATTATTGCTGGAAAACGGAGTAAAACATTTGTTTGAATCAATTAGGACTTCCCTACTCTGTAGCCTATGTAACTACTGTAACTCTACTTACAGTATATGTTTTATATGATATGCTCATTCATTAAATCAAAGAAAAACGGTCTATAGGGTGGGCAGTCTCTGATTTGTTAATGCTATAGAAGGCTACTAACTTATCAGTAATCATAATCATTCATGCAGAATGAGTTCAACATTTCGAAGGTTTGCTGTAGCACCATGGCAACTTTATGTACATGCTTGAATAAAAAAGCACACAAAAATTATGCAAACAAAACTTTCAGCTGGACATGGTGCCTTAAAATGTGTATTTTGGTTGTGTGTTTTGTCAGTGTGCGTGTCTTTAGTTCCTGCTTTTGTGAGGTGACAAGATAATTAATTGCGCCCTCAGTTCCTGGTAAGATCCGTAATAAACTGTATATAAGAGCTGGTGTTTCTCTGGTTCAGCAGCTCCAGACAGGACGACTGAAGCTACAGACGCTGAGAAGGAAGAAGAGAAGATCGTTCTGCAGCAGGTTTGCTCACAAACTGTCATTATATATTGACCTGACTGCCACTACAGGTGGTCTCTTCCCTAGAGAAGTATTAACATAACATAACATGTCCCTGTCTGTCTTTATTAAAGGTAATCATCATCTTCAACATCTGCATCATCTCCACCATGAAGACGCTGACTCTGTCTGCACTTCTTTGTGCCATGATGGCTCTGACCAGAGCTGCTGGTGAGTATTACTCCATATGTGAGTGTGAACGAGAGACAGCTTATGTTCATGTGTCTATACACAGCAACAAGGGTAGATGAAGACATGAACTCACTCAGTGGGTCAAAATGTCCTTCCAGCTCTTCCAGACGCAGAGGATGAACCTGGGACAGAGGGAACTGCTGTCCAAGGTGAGTGCATATTTCTTTAGATTCGTAATTGCTCTCTTGTAATCACATATGAGACAAGAGTATGAGTAATCACAAGTCATCACAAATAGACAATGTAAACAGCAGACAACTTAAATCAGTAACTGCTATGTCAACCTGTGCAACTCTTCGAGACACAGAGGCTGGAAACTGGACCGACTCATTCACTCCAGGTCAGTGGATACTTTATCAGAGTTACACTAAAATACACTTTGTCATGATGTTCTCCTGTAAATAAACAGAAATTCTCCATCTACTACTGTAGACTCTTTATCCACTCTTGTTTGTTTGACTGCAGGAGAGAGTCATACTGACAAGAGGTCCGTATCTTGTCCCAGTGGTTGGACTGCTTTTAACGATCGTTGTTTCCTCTACGTTCCACGATCCACGAGTTGGGCTGTGGCTGAGGTAATCAGGATTATCTTTATTCAGTGAAGCTTCTATACAACGTTTATTCTGTGCAGTACTGTCTAGCAGTGGCATTGTTTACAGCCTTGGCTTCTTTCTCCGCTGTAGAGAAACTGTATGTCCATGGGTGGACACCTTGCATCTGTACACAACATCCAGGAGTACCATCAGATTCAGACATTGATATCGAGCGCCACTCATTATCAAGGATTAACATGGATTGGGGGATCTGATGGACAACAGGTAAATTATTCATCATTATATGATGTGCAACAGGTATTTAATTAAATAATTATTGTCTTGACTCTTTCATTCTCCATTGTATTTAAGGAGTATTATTGGTTCTGGAGTGACGGAACGTCTTTCGACTTTTCTCAGTGGTGTCCTGGAGAGCCTAATAACTATTTAGGTCATCAGAACTGTGCAGTTGTTAATCATTCAGGTACAATTTTAACACGTTACTTTTCTTGAGAGCAGTGTGTGTGATTAGTGTAAATGGTACAGAATAAATGTCAAAGAAAATCACCACAGTACACTATAGGATTTGAGATTGAATCGTAACCTATTAATGCAGCTATAAAAACTGTTGTGTTGTGATGACAACAGTCAGGAGTTTCTGTCTGTAACTGTGAGTAATGATGTTCAAACGGACCATAAATCCCAGGATGAATGATCTGTCTACATAATGATGTTCAACAGCTTCAGGTTTGCTGTCTGACTTTGCTGTCTGTGTTTTTGGTTCTTACAGATCAGAAATGCTGGGATGACGTTTGGTGTGATTGGCAGCTCCCATCTGTCTGTGTCAGAAACGGCTGATAAACACGTGAAGAACGTGTCAAAAACACAAACACTGATCAATTTGTGTTTGTCTGTCTGCGAGGAAACTCTCTCTTCAGCCTACAGTCTCATATTTGACCTGAAGGCTCTATATCTCATTTCATATCTTCTTTATCATATTTTCTTCTCTATCGCTGTAACGCTACTTAAGGAACGAAGCGACACGAGACATAAACAGCAGCTGGATCGTCTCTGTCTCTTTAATACGAGCAGACTGAATGTGTAATGAAAAGAAAGCTTTTAGCACAACTTTATTCTGCAGAGTGAACTGTTCTTTCTTGTCTTAAGCAAAATTAAAAGTCTCAAGCATTGAAAAAAGCTGGTCTGTGTTATATCTCCTGTTTGTACGGGTACAAGGATCCTGGACCTCAAAAAGCTTCAGCCATCATACAGTTAAATAATACTGAACAAAATAATTGTTGGGCGCACCTAGCGAAAATTGTCCATCATATAAAACCTAATCAGAGATTGTACAAGAGCAATGTGATCCAAACCTTTAATGCATCTTCCTATTCAAAGTTTCTAAAAGTGGCTGACACCTGGAGCCAATCCCAGCTGACACAGGACACAAAGCACCATCTACAGTATCTGACAAAAATATCTTACACTTTTGTAGACATTTGCTTTAGTTTAACCCTCATTGTGTTTTTGGCAAATTAAATATTGTATTTCATCTAATTGGTATGTAACACTAGGCATTTGAATATATGAAATGGAATTGGTCATATGAAGTGGTGACCACTTTCATTGATTTATAATGGTTTTATTAACCCCATTTCTGGAGTTCCAAGTAAATTTATGTTTTTAGAATAAATGTTTTTTTAGAAATAAGTTTTTGAGTAAAATCAGATCAGTCAGCTTTGACAAAAAACAAATGTCACATACAGCCACCAAATGGGACTATGGTACCAATAATGTTTTTAGATGATTTCAAAACAGTGTCGTGTCTAAACAGATCACAGTGTGTGATACTTTTTCCTCTGGTCTTAACTACAGTCAGAATAATACGTAAATTGTACTTTTACCGAAAACCTAGAGGTATGATTTCAGATAACTGAGGTCTAAACACCATAAATTCCAGAAATAAGTGCAGAACTTATAATAATGACTGGGGAAGTTTGATTTAACAATTTAAAGTAGACTTTCTTTCTTTCTTTCTTAATAAATGTGTTTAAATGTAGAAAACATGAAGCCATTTTAAACTCACACTATTTTCTATAGACACAATATATACAAGAAGTTGTCATAGTTGAGGTAAAGTGGGACTGATTACCCATGGCCCCAATGGAGAGAGTGCCCTCGAAAAGCCTGGAACGAAAAGTTTTTTTTATTTTTATAATAATGTTATTTTAAGAACGATATTCATAGCCTTCATTTACCCAAAGTGAAGTCATTGTGGGACACAGTGTGTTGAGAAAGAGGATTGAAATTGTTTTGAGATTTGAGATTTCAAAATGTGCAGACTTAAGTACATACCACAGATTATTATTACTTGTATAAATGTGGTATGAACGGTTCATTAGTGACGACCCTAATCACCATTACAGTTTAATGTGTACACTTGTTCGCTCAATTATTTTAAAACATTTTCCAAAAGATGCATGAGATACAGGGACCAAGAGATGAAAAGGACCCACTGAGACTGTAGGTATAGGGCCCAGAATTTTGTGCGATGCCGCTGTACATACAGACTATTCAGCAGTATATTTTGAACACAAAGGCCACAGCCTACTGCAGTGTACCCATGTCACCACCTAGTGGCGCTAAAGGCGGCTTTCCAATGAAAGCTTATTCAGGATTGAACATGTGAATGTACCTGTGGGGCAGCTTGCAGTATCCAACTGTCCACAACGTGGTGCTGTTGTTAACTTTATCAGCTCAAGCACAAAACATCCAGCTAGAGACAAACAGAGGAGAAGAAATCCATTTAGATCACAGAGATACCAAAAAATAGTTTAGTATAAAATGCAGCAAACGTAGTGAGAGCTCCATTAAGTAAGGAACTAGACTTGATAGAGAACAGACAGCTGTAACAGTTGGCACAGAAATGTGGAAAATATTGACTAAAGAATGTGCATATGTTCACAATGTTAAGTATAAAGAATATGTGCCATGTACAGAAAAAATAACCCAAAAGGTGGACATTATCTGCGATGGACTGGGTGTACCCCCGCCTTTTGCCTGATGCCAGCTGGGATTGGCTCCAGCCCCCCCGCGACCCTGTACGCAGGATAAGTGGTTGATGATGGAAGGATAGATGGATGGTGTATATTATATAATGCTTAGTTTCCAGGATGCGGGATAAGAGTCTGTATCACGTATTGATTTATTTCATTTATCCAACGGTTGGGGTCAAGGAAAACTGGACTTGGTAGAAGAAAACTACAAGATGTTTCGTCCCTCATCAAGAGACTTCTTTAGTTCCCCTTCGAGGGAACTCGAACTGCGTCGGTTACGACACTATGGGAACGCCTCTAGGCGAAGCAGGTCTGAACGTGAATGAAATCACTCCAATCCTATTGGCTTGTTGCTAGAACGGTAAGGTGTGACAGAATAACCGGAGGAGTATAAAGCACACCTGTACACACTCATCATTAGCTTTTTTCTATTCAGCAGGCTCTGTATGTTGTTTTAAGAAAGCTCCAGTCCTACAAGCAGTGTGTCTTACCTGAAGAAGAAGTCTACCAGCATATCCGGCAACCAGATGTACAGAAGGTGTGTTTTTTCTTGCCCTCGGTACATCACGGATGGAGATTCTCATGAGATGTGTGTCTCATGTTTGGGGATGGAGCACGCCCGGGCAGCTCTGGAGGGGGCTGCCTGCGCCTGTTGCGAAGCCCTTTCCGTGCGGGTACTGAGGTACAGCATGGCTCTCTTTTCCGAGGATGGCCAGATGTGTTTTCCCCGTGGTGCGGGCCCTGCGGCCGCTGAGGCGGCCCGGCGGCTTCACTCATGGGGTTCACAGCGTGATCTGTCGGAGGATTTCGGGACGGCTGAGGCTTTTTCCCGACCTTCATCCGCTGGCTGCGACGCTTCCTTTCCTCGTTCGGGAGCCCGTTCTCGGCTTCTCCCGCTCGCGGTTTGGATCCGGAGACGCTGCAGCAATCCGACTCTGAGGAGGCGGACGTGCTAGACTCTAGACTTAATCTAGAGATGGAGAGTTTTTTTGATTGTGGATCATTTGAAGCAGAAAGGAACTTCACACAGCTCCAGTGATCTGTTGAAGATCTGTGTGAATATGGGGGCCAGCTGGTCTGCGCAGATTTTCATGCAGGATGGTGACACACCGTCTGGGCCAGGAGCTTTCCTGATCTTCTGCCTCTGGAAGAGGCTGGCGCACATCCTCTTGCCAAATCAACTAATTGCAATTCATGTTTTCTGTGTACCACTAGATGTACTGACAACTATTACTGAATTAATTTGATGCTGAAGAACTCTTAGGAAAAACAAAAAACAACTTGTTTTTTTGTTTTTTCTGCCACGTCCTCCGCTGAGCTTTCTTGGTGAAGGAGCTGTTCAGCCCAGAACTGCAGGATGTCGAGGAGTTGGTCTGTGATGAATCTCAGATGGACAACACAAGTCGCTCAACTGACTTCATTACAATAGAGGTCAGGGTGATGGGTCTATAGGGGGACCCAATTAATGACCATAATTACTTTACTGTGTGAGCAATTGAGTGTGTGTTTGAGCAGACTGAATGGAAACGGTTTCATTTATGAGCAATTACAAATTCCGTTTTCTGTATGTGTGATACAATGACAATAAAGGCATTCAATTACAGAAGCTAAAAGTTTAATTCTGTTTCCTCTGGAGAGGTTCCTCTATCTGTCCTTTCCAGTTTATAACTACAATTTTTTTGTTTTATCCCATGCATGGAAACGTTTAAAATGACTTACAGCAGCGTCTCTAATCGTGAAAGTAAATCATTGTAGAAAAAACACTCATACATAAATACAACAAAATAAAGAAACTACCCGGAAAGGTACAAGGACCGGTAGAGGTCAGTTTAATCTGAGAAAATAAGTAGTCCAGGTAGGGGGTTAGTGGATGATTTATGCCAAACCGCACATCACACCAATTCAGCAGCTATAATCGTGACAAAACAGTGCAAACAGCTGCTGATGTCAAATTATTAGACTGTCAGCACTGATCTGCTGTATTTCAGGCTATACTAATAATGCCCATGATGAAGTCTGCACGTCACTCCAAAAGTATAGTCCTGTGACGACAGTTGTATTCTACATTTAAGATTTTTACGGTGTCATTTATTAGAGGAACTGCAGATGAAACTTAACTCTCACCAAGTGTCACAACTTGGGATATTATGTTGCTTGGGGTGTGTCATAGATGGGGACTCGAGTTAGAGACTCGGACTCGAGCGCAACTTAAGTCGCACAAGAAGTGACTTGAGACTCGTCCTCAATAGACTTCAGACTCGACTCGGACTCGAGGTGCAGGACTCGTGAACAATGTTTATTTTTTAGGAAATGTCTGATGAGCTTGCCGTTATTCCCTCCCTCCGTTACCTATAACCTGCCTACGTAACACTTAATATCTGCTGCGCACAGCCGCACATGAAAGAGGACAACAAACACCAGCAGCTGCGGTGCCATTTATCATAAACTTTGGCTTTAAAACTTCATACAACAAGACCCAAACAAAGAAGCGCTGAACGCAAATAGGTTAGTAACCTGTGGTGAGTAACACCACCAGCTCAGCATTGGCCATCTAACGTTAGCTTGCTTCTTGCTTTAGCTACGACCTATGAGAGGTTAACTCCGACTGTCGTTCATTATGAAAAGATGAGTGAGCTTTTGTTTACTTGCCAAACTTGTGGTTGCCGATTAACGTAATTATTTACGTCCCGCTGGCTGCCATCACGTTAATTATTACCGTTGGCTGGAAAGAGGTTACAGGTTTATTGTTGATCATGTAACCTTACAGTTTTATTTAGTTATAACGTTACACTGGTTTGAGAGTCTGGTAGTGTGTTGACTTACAGTAGTTTAAAAGCTATCATTAATTGTAGACGCATTGTACAATCATAGGGAAGACTTCTGACTTGAGTTTTCCAGAAGACAGACTCATTGACAGTTGTTCATTGCTCCAAAGTGCTTTTTTCACATGAAAGTAAATTGTGCATTTCATTTGGAAATTAAGGTCCCAGAGTCTGGAGGACAAGTGGAGAGGAAGAGAAGAGAAGAAAAAAAAAGTTACTTGAAGTCCAGTGTGAAGTTTCCACAGTCAGTGATGATTTGGGGTGCCATTTCATCTGCTGGTGTTGATCCACTGTGTTTTCTCCAGTCCAAAATCAATGCAGCGTCTACCAGGAGATTTTAGAGCACTTCATTCTTCCATCTGCTGATAAGCATTATGGAGAAGCTGATTTTCTTTATTCAGCAAGACTTGGTACCTGTCCACAGGGACAAAGCGACTAGGAACTGGTCTGTTGACTGTGGTATTACTGTGCTTGATACCACGATACGAACCCTGACTTGAACCCCATAGAGAATCTATGGCACATGTTTGTTATTAAAAAGTGTTGGTAATTTACCATCCTCAATAGTTGATCAGTTCTTTATCATACTCATTGCATTCTTAATGCATCATATTCATCACTTGTTCAGACATGTCACACATTTTATAGAGCTGATTTCATTAGAACCAAACACATCAAACTATTGTATCTGCTGGCAGGAGGCTAACCATGTTGAATAAATTCATTGCAGGTAATTTTATTTTTAAGTTGCAGGCATGTCACAGATCTTGTCTGATATTTTGTGTTCCGCAGCTTGAGTTTCTTTAGTTATCACATTTCACAGCTCTGGTGGTGTGATTGTGTGTGTGTGTGTGTGTGTGTGTGTGTGTGTGTGTGTGTGTGTGTGTGTGTGCGTGCGTGCGTGTGTGTGATTGTTTGTGTGTGTCAGTTTTTGCGGGTTTTGAGAGGTGGCATCTGATCAGTTCCTGATAAGATGTGTCATCAACTGTATATAAGAGCTGGTGTTTCTCTGGTTCAGGACGACTGAAGCTACAGACGCTGAGAAGGAAGAAGAGAAGATCGTTCTGCAGCAGGTTTGCTCACAAACTGTCATTATATATTGACCTGACTGCCGCTACAGGTGGTCTCTTCCCTAGAGAAGTGTTACTAACATGTCCCTGTCTGTCTTTATTAAAGGTAATCATCATCTTCAACATCTGCATCATCTCCACCATGAAGACGCTGACTCTGTCTGCACTTCTTTGTGCCATGATGGCTCTGACCAGAGCTGCTGGTGAGTATTACTCCATATGTGAGTGAGTGTGAACGAGAGACAGCTTATGTTCATGTGTCTATAGTGAGTGAATATTTCATTAGATTTGTAATGGTGCTCTATTGTAATCACATATATGAGACAAGAGTATTGAAAGTGCAGAGAAAGAAACTGAATGTATTTATAAATAAATGAAAACAGCAGACAATTTAAATCAGTAACTGCTATGTCAAACTGTGCAGCTCTTCCAGACGCAGAGGCTGGAAACTGGACCAACTCGTTCACTCCAACAGGTCAGTGGGTACTAAAATACACTTTGTCATGATTTTCTCTTGTAAACAGAAATATTGCATCTACTACTGTAGACTCACTATCCACTCTTGTCTGTTTGACTTCAGGAGAGAGTCATGTTGTCATAAATTCCACGTCTTGTCCCGAGGGTTGGACTGCTTTCAACAGTCGCTGTTTCCTCTACGTTCCACGATCCCTGAGTTGGGCTGCGGCTGAGGTGATCTGGATTATCTTTACTCAGTGAAGCTTCTACACTACATTTATTCTGTTCACAACTTTCTACTCTTATTTGCATCATTTACAATCTTTGCTTCTTTCTCCGCTGTAGAAAAACTGTATGTCCATGGGTGGACACCTTGCATCTGTACACAACATCGAGGAGTACCATCAGATTCAGACGATGATCTTGAGCGCCACTCATTATCAAAGAGAAGCATGGATCGGAGGGTCTGATGCACAACAGGTATTTTAATTGTCTTTATATAGTGTGCAACAATAATTTATTTAAGGAATGACTGTCTTGATTCTTATACATAAAATATTCTCTTCTGTATTAAAGAACCAATGTTGGTTCTGGAGTGACGGTACTCTTTATGACTTCACCAACTGGTGTCCTGGAGAGCCTAGTAACGGTAGAGGTCATCAGAACTGTCTGCAAATGAATTATTCAGGTAAATTATAACATTATTTTCTTCAGAGCTCAGCGTATGATTGGTACCGGATAAATATGAATGAATGAATATTACCAATACTTGGTATTATACTACAACATTTACCAGTTCTTCACAAAGTATTCAGATCCTTTACTTCAATAAAATAACTATTATTTAAATCTATCATTAGATTATTATTACTCACGGATTTTTTTAAAAGCAGAAATTTTACTGCTTTTGTTGTTGAAGTGGACTCATTTTTCAGCATTTTTCGGACTGCAAATAATGAACATTTTTATTCTGATTATTTTCTCAATTAATCAATTGATCGTTTGGTTTGCAAAAATTCTTAAAAGTTTACTTTATAAGAAAACATCATATTTTATAAACTGTTCATGTATTTTGTATGTAAAAATCCTGATTTATAAAGTAACTATTAAATAAAGCTTTCAGATAAATGTATTAAATACATATTTTCCCTCTGAGATGTAGTGGAACAGAATTACAATGTGGCATGAAAAGAACAGACTCAAGTAAAATATATGTACCTCAAAATTTTACTTGAGTAAATGTATATAGCTAGTAAAAAAGTATATATCCCAGGATGAATGACTGCTGTGTTTTTGGTTCTTACAGATCAGAAGTGCTGGGATGACACGTGGTGTGATGTTCACCTCCCGTATGTCTGTGCCAGAAACGTCTGATAAAAGCATGGATAACGTGTCAAAAGCACAAACACTGATCAATTTCCATTTGTGTGTATGCAAGCAAACTCGTCGCTCTTTACGCCACCAGTCTCATATTTGACCTGAAGGCTTTATAACTCATACAATGATTTCTTTATTTCTTCTCTATTGCTGTAACGCTACTTAAGGAACGAAGCGACAAGTGACATAAACAGCAGCTGGATTGTCTCTGTCTCTTAAATACGAGCAGACTGAATGTGTAATGAAAAGTAAGCTTTTAGCACAACTTTATTCTGCAGAGTGAACTGTTCTTTCTTCTCTTACGCAAAATTAAAAGTCTCAAGAAGCATTGAAACAAGCTGGTCTGTGTTATATCTCCTGTTTGTTCGGGTACAATAAATAGACAGGTATATGAAATAGATCTCAAAGAGCTTCAGCTATAATACTGTTAAATAATACTGTTCATTATAATTGTTGGGGCACCTAGTGAAAATGTCCATCCAATAAAACCTAATGAGAGATGGTACAAGAGGGATGTGATCCAAACCTGTAATGAATCTTGATATTAAAAGTTTCTGAAAGTGTCTGACAGCATTTGGTTCAGTTCAAACCTCCTGATATGTTCTGGACAAATAAAATAAATAAATATGGTATCTTTCATCTAATTGATCGAAGTCTTCATGTATTCCAGATGGGCATTTGATTATATAAAATTTTGACCACTTTTATTGATTTTTAATGGTTTTATTCAAACTTTACTCATCTCTGGCATTCCTGTTCAAAACTGACTATATGTGAGACTATATTATATTGTACAGATGGGAAACGTCCCCATACACCCCCATCTATCTATATGTTTTGAAATAAATGTTCATTTCAAAATAAGTTCTTCTCAATAAAACCAATGTGGCTTACAGCATCCACCAAATGGGACTCTGGGACTAATACATCTTTTTAAATGATTTCAAAACAGTATCCTGGTCTGTGATATGTTTTTATCTGGTCTACAGTCAAAATAATACATAAATTATACTTTTTTATTGAAAAATGAGTGAAAGTATTTCAGATAACTGAGCTTTTAAAACCATGAATTCCAAAAATTAGTGCAGAACGTCATTATTAAATGACTAGAAATTGGGTAAAAGATGTCCCACGTCATGTGGTGATAATTCATGCTTTATGTTGGATTAAATAGTTAAACAGAGCAGCCAATTTTTGTTGGGAACACCTTGAATAGGAAACAATGAATGAACACAATAGTAGTATTCATTGTGTAAATGGAAATATTTAAGGAACTGTTTAATCTGTAGTTGCAGTAAATACTTCAACGATCACCACCACTGGTTTAGATTACTCAACATTTTTAAGGTAACACATAGTTCTTTATTATAATGAGTTTTTCTTATTAAAAGCAAAAATTAGAAAACATGAAGCTTTTTTAAACCAGCAGTACAGCAGCTTGCAGTACATCCATCTAACCACTAGGTGGTGCTGTTTTTAACTTTATCAGCCTATCCACAAAACACTCAGCTAGAGACAAACACAGGAGAAGAAATCCATTCAGATCACAGTGATACCGAGAAAAAAAAACTGTTACGCAAAAATGTATGTTTATATTCATCAAATATAATGAGATGTCATTAATATTGAAACCCTGAGAGGGTTAAATAATGAGTCAGACTTGATAGAGAATGGAGATTGTTTTGGTGGAACAATAGGAAATGTAGTTTAAGGTCAGCTGTAGTCTGGTCTTAAAAATTAGTTTGAGTTATCCTGAAACATTATGAGATGGAAGACATTGAAGTGCAATGTGTTTTAAAAAAACAACACCAACAAAACATTTGCTGCTTTGTATTGCAGTCAGATGCAGACACCAAGTTGTAGGCTAGATGGCAAAAAAAAATTGTTTTTCTTCTTGTGCATTTTATGGGCTTGAGTTATTATTGTGATCATCGTGACATACTGTTCTGCTCTAAACTTCTCATAATACTTCACTTTAAACACTTAGTACTTACATTACAATACAGGGATGTTGAAAATATTGACTAAAGAATGTGCAAAAGTTCACAGTGTGAAGAAGTGTAAGTAGCTGACCTCGAATAGTTGAAGACTCGATGCTTCGATGGGCGGAGCCTCATTCGACTGTCAGTCTCACAGTGAAGCTTCAGAGTGAAACGAGGATCGTGCCATTTTGTTTATATGGGGTGTTCAACGTCTGATTTTACATTACTTAAAAATAAAATAAATTATAAAATATTACTTGTTGTGTAAGTATATATGTGTGAGGTTAAGTGTGAGGTTAAGTATGTATATGTGTGAGGTTAAGTGTGTATATGTGTGAGGTTAAGTATGTATATGTGTGAGGTTAAGTGTGTATATGTGTGAGGTTAAGTGTGTATATGTGTGAGGTTAAGTATGTATATGTGTGAGGTTAAGTATGTATATGTGTGAGGTTAAGTGTGTATACATGCACAGGGTTGAGTATGTGTATATGCGCAAGTTTAAGCATGTACATATGGGCAAGTTATATATGCATGAGGTTAAGAATGTAGAAATGTGGAATGTTGAGTATGTGTATATGAGCAACCTGATTATGTATATGCACGAGGTGAGTATGTATAGCACGTATTCTGGCCTCTTTTCACTGGTTACCAGTGCCAGCTAGAGCTGACTTTAAGGTCCTCCTTTTAACTTATAAGGCCTTGCATGGACTTGTACCATCCTACCTAGCTGAGCTAATTACACCATATGCACCAGCTCACCCTTTCCACTCTCTCAAAGCTGGTACCCTGATTAAACCTCTGCATAACAAAAATCTACAGAGCTTTTACCCACTCAACAAGAGTCTAAAACTCATACACATACACCCCACTGCAGCAAGAAAGTGAGACGGAGACGTGTCCGATGCATGGATTCTCCTGCTTGATATTATATTGCTGCTACTGGTAAGGTTGCCCTCAGGAGCACTGGGAAATTTCCCAGTCCGCTAGTGTAATCTCCACAGCCTCTTCTTGTTTACAGTGTCATTGGTCACTAGTGCTCAAGGCAATAGACTTCACAAATGGACCAATGAGCAAACACTGTGTGTATTCATAGGAGTTTCGTATCACACTGCAGTTTGTTTGTTATTTCACATGCCTTTTGACAAGGCTACAATTTTATAACCCAGCAAAGTGTCTAGTGGGAAAAACTGTGCTGAAATCCACCTGTGTTTGGTGGATTGATCAAGTGGTAACGTCAATTCCTGGTTGCCTGTGACTTTTATCATGGACATTTAGCCAACCAAACCACTTGCTTTGATATGAAAGGCGTTGCATATGATCTGCCATCTCCAATCGCACAGGGACCCAATAGAAAATGATTACTCCTAAAGCTTCTATGAACATAATTTTTACAACTCAGAGTTATGTTGGCAGTAACATGGGAGCAGCCTTTTGCAGAATGAAGAAGTGTAAGCCTACATAATAAAGGGAGACCTGCTCAACAGGACAGTTTTATCCATATTTAAAAAAAACAAATAGAAATATATAATATTGCCATCAGAAAGCCATGCTCTGTGCAACGAGAGGATTCTGTTAATATATCATCATCTGACTTAGATGTTTCAGTGTATGGCCTGCATTTGTTCTGCAGAGACTAAATGTGTGAATATTCAAACGGCATATTCAAAGCCTATGCTTTTAATATGCCATTAATTGAATATAAAAGTAGCAGCTTTTTGAAAGGGTGATGCAGGCTGCTATCCAACAAGAGTTACATTAATAGAACAACCAAACCTTAAACTGAAATGGTATTTTGCCTGATTTTCTAAATGTTTGCATCTGTCCAGCTCATTCACATCTGGCACAAGTGCACCGGTAAAGCTCTCCTGCAACTTCGATGACTGTTCATTTACGTTAAAGGAGCAAAATGCAGAGTAGATAACAAATGGGTATAAATGGCAAATGTAGCAAAGTTAATATTGCTTCACCACAAAATACTTAGAGTAAAAGTACAGTTTTTATAAAAGCAATGTGAAAAGCTGCTAACAACTTTTTTTCTGGCCCAGAAACCTCACACCATGGGCTAGTCAATGAAGGCACATACCAACTATTTTTCAACTGCAGTTTAATACTATGTGGTTTATCGGCCCAATTGTCCAGTGGCCCAACGGTTTTCCGGTACTCCCAATGGCTAATCCGAGTCATCATGGCACAAACACACAACGACACAGTCAGTAAATTAATGGTGGAGATGATATTAAAGATGACAGACAGTGTTACTCATCCTTCTTGAGGGAGCAGAAGATGCTACTGATACTGGCAGTACTTTAAAGGAATAAAAGAGGATGATATCATAGTTTGTTGTTTTCAGTTAGGAAAAATGACTCATTGTTTATTTTCACTGGATTTTATCCAGCAATGGTGTCACCCAACACCGCTTGTTTCAGTCTCACATGTTGAACAAGGCTCATCTGACAGCAAACATGAATCTGATATATATTTACAAACAATAATTACCTCTAGTTCTTGAGAAGTCCTCGTTACACAGAATAACAGTTCATTGGCGTCTCGCCCACTTTTTAAGTGAAATTTGCTTCTCTCTATCAATCTTTTCTTTGACCTTCATCTATACAGAGAATCAGACTGAGACCAGGGTTTCTTTTACAGCTGAGCCAAAAATGATTAAACAGATGAAAAAACACTCACCGGCCACTTTATTTGGTACAGGTGTTAAAAGCTAATCAGCCAATCCAACAAGTCCTCCAACCTAAACAACAACATATCATCAAATCAGCGTCCTACAGTTGTGGCTGACAGGACCTACGTTTTAGAAATCACGTGAGATCAGCGACACAAAGAAGGTGAACCCTACTTCACCAGTCTCTTGGGTGAAGGGCTTTGTCATGTGTTTGCATTGTATGAGTGTATTGTTAGAGATCGCTGCCACAATAAAGTTACACATGAGTTGTAATTTTGTGTGGCCGAAACTACCTATATGGTCATTTTTCTGTGGAGGACAGGCTCGCCAGTCACATGGCAGCAGCTCAATGCATTTAGGTAGACGTTGTCAAGACAACTGAAGTTCAAACCAAGCATCAGAATGGGGAAGAAAGGGGATTAAAGTGACTTTGAACGTGGCATGGTTGTTGGTGCCAGACGAGCTGGTCTGAGTATTTCAGAAACTGCTGATCTGCTGGGATTTTCAGGCACAACCACCTCTAGGGTTTACAGAGAATGGTCCAAGAAAGACAAAATATCCAGTGAGCGGCAGTTGTGTGGACAAAAACGCCTTGTTGATGTCAGAGGTCAGAGGAGAATGGGCAGACTGGTTCCAGATGAAAGATTGGCAACAGTAGAGCTGTTTATCCATTTTCGGCTACTGTAGAAACATGACGTTGAAACATGGCGACATCCATGGAAGGAGGGACCCGAGGTTATGTAGATATAAATGGCTCATTCTAAGGTAATAGAAACATAACGTTTCATTATGAAATGTCTTTATACACCACTAAAAACATAGTTATGGATATTATATTGAATTTCTGTCAATATATCCTCAGAAATATTACACACTGAACCTTTAAAGCCATTCTTCTCCATTCTTCCTTTAGCTTTTTGGGTAACAATTGATTTGAACAACAGAAGGTCTGGCTTCTCGACCTGAACTGCCCCTGACAAGGACAACAAAACAAGTGGCGTTCTGGTGATGCAGTAACGCAGCATTGCTTGGATTAGTAACTGTAATAATATTACTGTTTTGAAAATAGCAACCTGTTACACTACTAGTTACTGGAAGAAGTAATATTATAACAGTAACGCGTTACTGCCCAACGCTGGTAATCAACAGCAGAGTCACATCCATTGCGGCACATACAAACAGTGCCTCTTAACGGTGAAAATGATATTAAAGATGATCACTTCTACTTGTACTGCAGTACTTTAGATGATAGAAAGAGGATGATAGAGTTCATAGCTAGTTTTTTTTTTGAAGTTAAGTAAATTTAAGTTAAATTACTGTTTTCTTTCACTGGCATTTTATCCAACACCTCATTCAGTCTCACATGTTGAACAAGGCTAATCTGACAGCAGCCCAATACAAACACAATCAAAGTAGTTCCTGCTACTGGACGAATCCTAATATACTTTTTGGGGATGTGGGAATGGTAGCGCTGCATAATAAGGTAATTTACTGATTGTGGATGACTGTGGATTAAAATCCATTGCATTTAACTGTGTTTGACAGCTTCGTCCCTTCTGCAGTGTTACAACAAAGCAGATTATTAAAGACATGAATCTGATGACACAGTGCAAATATACACACTATCACATATCCATCAGATGTTTGCGTGTTTGATCAGTACAACATATCCATGCCAGCTCCGGAGATAATACGGGATGGTGGCTACACAAACGGTGTGTCTTGTGACAATAAGTCATTCCAGCAGAAAAGGTAAAGACACAGGTGTCAGTCAGAGCTTTGAGCTGCTTAGTGGCCAGCAGACCAGGCTGCGGTTGTAATGGGCAGCTTCCAGGTGTGAATGTGATCAGGGCCTTCCTGCAAAACAGAGGCTTCCTCTCAGTGAAGCTCCCTCACCCAGTGCCTTAAAGGTTATCCCACTAATTAACTGGGAATGTGTGACTAAGTCTGACACAAGTAAAGCAGAACTCAACACTGAACTCCTGTTAGCTCAGTTTGTCACTTTTATGTTGGGAGGTTGAAGGGTGTCTATTTGCCTCTACAGAACTAACTTCTGAACTATTAAACACTGAATAAACCAGTGCAGTGCCCGTTCAGAGCAGGTTGTCAAAGGACAAACAGAGACTTCTTCCTTTACAGTTAGAAGACACTGTGGGTGGCGGCTGTGTGGGGTTCTGTCTTTCACTAAAATATGTTGTATTTTTTACTGTCATCAGTGAAGATACTATATTTATGACCCAACTGGAATTTGTTCTTAATAATGACATTTATTGCAGGTTTTTAATCAATTGCAGGCAAAACAAATACGTCATTTGATAGTTTGAGTTCTGCTTAAAAATGATCATGCATGTTTCTGTAGTGATCATATTTCACTGCTCTGGTGGTTACAAACATTATGCAAACAAAACTTTACGCTGGACATGCACCAAAATACACATTTAAAGGCACCATGTTCACCAAGGTGCATGTAAATGTCTATTCTGGTTGTGTGTTTTGTCAGTGTGCGTGTCATTAGTTCCTCGTTTTGTGAGGTGGCAAGATAGGTAAGTTTTTCCTCAGTTCCTGGTAAGATGTGTCATCAACTGTATATAAGAGCTGGTGTTTCTCTGGTTCAGGACGACTGAAGCTACAGACGCTGAGAAGGAAGAAGAGAAGATCGTTCTGCAGCAGGTTTGCTCACAAACTGTCATTATATATTGACCTGACTGCCACTACAGGTGGTCTCTTCCCTAGAGAAGTATTACTAACATGTCCCTGTCTGTCTTTATTAAAGGTAATCATCATCTTCAACATCTGCATCATCTCCACCATGAAGACGCTGACTCTGTCTGCACTTCTTTGTGCCATGATGGCTCTGACCAGAGCTGCTGGTGAGTATTACTCCATATGTGAGTGAGTGTGAACGAGAGACAGCTTATGTTCATGTGTCTATACGCAGCAACAAGGGTAGATGAAGACATGAACTCACTAGTGGGTCAAAATGTCCTTACAGCTCTTCCAGACGCAGAGGATGGACCTGGGACAGAGGGAACTAGTGTCCCAGGTGAGTCAATATTTCTTTAGATTTGTAATGGTGCTCTCTTGTAATGACATATGAGACATGAGTATTACTGCATGTACAGAGAAAGAAATTGAATGCGTTCATAAATACACAATGTAAACAGCAGACAACTTAAATCACTAACTAAATTAAATGTCAAACTGTGCAGCTCTTCGAGACGCAGAGGCTGGAAACTGGACCGACTCGTTCACTCCAGGTCAGTGGGTACTTTATCAAAATTATATTAAAATACACTTTGTTCTCCAGTAAACAAACAGAAAAACTACATCTACTGCTACTTATCTGTTTGACTTCAGGAGAAAGTCATGTTGTCAAGAGGTCCACATCTTGCCCCGGGGGTTGGACTGCTTTCAATGGTCGCTGTTTTCTCTACGTTCCACGATCCATGAGTTGGGCTGTGGCTGAGGTAATCAAGATTATCTTTATTCAGTAAAGCTTCTACACAACGTTTATTCTGTGCACTACTGTCTAGCAGTGGCATCGTTTGAAGTGTTGGCTTCTTTCTCCGCTGTAGAGAAACTGTATGTCCATGGGTGGACACCTTGCATCTGTACACAACATCCAGGAGTACCATCAGATTCAGACATTGATATTGAGCGCCACTCATTATCAAGGATTAACATGGATTGGGGGATCTGATGGACAACAGGTAAATTATTCATCATTATATGATGTGCAACAGGTATAATTATTGTCTTGACTCTTTCATTCTCCATTGTATTTAAGGAGTATTATTGGTTCTGGAGTGACGGAACGTCTTTCGGCTTTTCTCACTGGTGTCCTGGAGAGCCTAATAACTTTAAAGGTCATCAGAACTGTGCAATTGTTAATCATTCAGGTACAATTTTAACACGTTACTTTTCTTGAGAGCAGTGTGTGTGATTAGTGTAAATGGTACAGAATAAATGTCAAAGAAAATGTACACTATAGGATTTGAGATTGAATCGTAACCTATTAATGCAGCTATAAAAACTGTGGTGTTGTGACGACAACAGTCAGGAGTTTCTGTCTGTAACTGTGAGTAATGATGTTCAAACGTACCATAAATCCCAAAATGAATGATCTGTCTACATAATGATGTTCAACAGCTTCAGGTTTGCTGTCTGACTGCTGTGTTTTCGGTTCCTACAGATCGGCAATGCTGGGATGACCTTTGGTGTGATTGGCAGCTGCCATCTGTCTGTGTCAGAAACGGCTGATAAACACTTGAAGAACGTGTCAAAAACACAAACACTGATCAATTTGTGTTTGTGTGTCTGCGAGGAAACTCTCTCTTCAGCCACCAGTCTCATATTTAACCTGAAGGCTCTATATCTCATTTTACATCTTTATTACTTCTCTATCGCTGTAACGCTACTTAAAGAATGAAGCGAAAGTGACATAAACAGCAGCTGGATTGTCTCTGTCTCTTTAATACGAGCAGACTGAATGTATAATGAAAAGCAGTTGCTTTTAGCACAACTTTATTCTGCAGAGTGAACTGTTTTTTCTTGTTTTACACAAAATTAAAATCTCAAGCATTGAAACAAGCTGGTCTGTGTAATATCTCCTGTTTGGTCCAATCTACCTGGATCTCAAAGAGCTTCAGCTATAATACTGTTAAATAATACTGTTCATTGTTGGGAGCTCCTAGAGAAAATGTTCCTCACACACAATCTAATGGATCTTTCTATTCAAAGTTTCCAAAAGTGTCTGACAGCATTTGGTTTAGTTTAACCCTCCAATTGTGTTATGGGCAAATTAAATACTGTAAATAAATAAGGTGTAATTCATTTAGACCAAAGGCTTAATTTATTCCTCCACGCTGGGCATTTTAATATATAAAATTAGTTATTACCACTTTCAATAACTTTTAATGGTTCAATTTGAACTTTACCCGTTTGTGGTGTTTCCAGTAAAAAATGGCCGGGCTCAGGAAATGAATGCGTGAGACTATATTATATTCAACCAGCAGATGAAAAACTCCCCTATACACCACTATACCACACACAGCTAATTGTGTTGTTTTAATTTATAAAACAGCTGCCACCAAATGGGACTATTGGACAAATACATTTTTTAGATGGTTTCAAAACAGCATCCTGGCTAAACAGATCCCAGTCTGTGATATATTTTCCTCTGGTCTTAACTACAGTCAAAATTTACTGAAAGACTTGAGATATTATTTCAGTTAAATGAGGTCTAAACTCCATAAATTCCAAAAATAAGTCCAGAACTTGTAATAATGTCTAGAAATTAAGTTAGTTAAAAGACATTGCCTCATGTGGCGATAATTTATATTTTGTGTTTAACAGTTTAAGGTTAAGTGTGTAAGTTTTAGTGACATCTAGTGGTGAGGGTTGCAAATTGCTCACTCACAATTTTTCTAGATCACACTGGACTTTATTTGTCTTCAAAGAACAGAGGTTGTTTTGGAGGGAACAGAAGGAAATGTAGTTAAAGGTCAAATGCAGACTGGCTTTTACATAAATACGGGCTGTCCGTAAATATTATTATATTATTAGTATTTTGAGATGGAAGACGTGGAAGTGCACAGTGTTTTCATCAAAAACAAAAAACAAACATTTGCTGCTTTGTATTGAAGTGAGATGCATTTGCCAACTTAAAGGCACGACAGGTTTGAATGCAGCAGTGTAAGTTACAGCGGCTCACAATAAGGAAAACTAAGTTGCAAGAGGAAAAGTGGATGTTTCCTCTACCTATACTTTTAGATGTTTATGTTGCAAAACTCTACCGGTTGCATACAACTCTATCATAAACTGGCTGCCACTCACAGCGTGAGAGTGACTTTATTACACAGTGTGTCGCATCAGCTGGGTGAAGTGGTTTTTAACGTCAGTAACGATGGTCTCGCGCAGAATGTATTGAAGTACAAAGAAATGGCTTTGAAATGTAGCGCAGTGAAAGTGCAACTTGAAATTCTCAAGTAAAGTTCAAATCCAGATTTTGTTACTTTACTCACTCTTGTGCGCAGTAACTCAACTAAATAGTCTCTTTATCAAAGTACAGAAACCACATTAAACATATTTCACATGTATTACTGTTTTCAACACAATTCCTTTAGTAACTGCTTGACAGGTTTAGAACCTCTTACTTTTTATCTGCATTTACAGGTTGAGGTAGCTTTAGTAGCCCTGTGACATGTTTATCTCTGATGACTGGCTAATAAACCTTAAAGCTTTCCAGTAAAGACACACTGAACATGTTCATTTTCTATGGGAACCAAGCACTTCGCCTTGCAGGGCATTGTGGGATTGCAGGCGACACAGGCAACTTCACTTAATGAGGTCAAGATTTGCATGGAAACGCCATCGTATTTGCAACAAATGAATAGTGACAATGTTTGGACAGTCTTTAACGTACCTGCAGTGGATGAAGATGTGTGGAGCAGGAGATCTTTGTTGTACTTTCTGAGATCCTGCTTTTCTATGGCCCTGTCATAGACTGCATAAGAAATCTCCTATTGGTTTGTGGACTAAAACCTGCGTTCTATTGAACAGCCAGCAGGGGGCGACTCTGGTTGCAAAAAGAAGTCCGGGTCCATTAGAAATAATGGTAAAATGAGGCTACTTCTCAGCTGATTTATTACATCAGTAAACACTTTCAGGATGAGTTTATGGTCTCAGTCGCTAGTTTCAAGTCTTCTTCAATACAAAATTATGTTCATTTAGTTAATTATGGTCCCATTTATTTTAAAATAGACCATAAAGTGAGATTATCTATGATTTTGATGAATTTGGCCATCGCCGTTGAAAAAGCTTATTAGGAGTTGGATGTTCACTTCCTCTGGTGAGTACATTTAGTTTAAAGACTGTTGTTCACTAGACAAACTTCTCAGCCCAGTTAAAATGACCGTTGATGTGAATTACAGATGCACCTAGCTAAGCAAACTAGCTAGCGCCGCACACGGCCGTTAGCTCCACCGTTGCGTCCAAATATGGTCACTTCCGGGGACTTCCTGGTTGTAAAAAGTCATCATGGCGGCGCCCCATCGGCCAAACTCAAAGCTTCAAAACGGCAGTCCACAAACCAACGGGTGACATCACGTTGACTACGCCCATTTCTTATAGACAGTCTATGGTGGAACCACACCATATTTGGACTGGTTGTCATCATCTTGGTTTGTGGAACCAGACCGTATTTGGACTAGAGAGGGGAGTATGGGAGGTTATCAGCTAGTAGATGTATAATCCATCCTTAATTCACGCTAACTTTATTTGGTGAGTGAAAATCAGGCATGAAACTATGGAAGAGGATTAGGTCCACATGTAAAACATTTATTTAATTGATTATTATTATTTATTTTTCCCTTAACTCAATTACCTTTTTCACATGTGGCCCTAATCCTCTTCCATATAAAATACAATGCACATACCCAAATAGACAGCCGACTCCAAACACTGAATAAGCCATTCATGGGCAACAATTAAATTGCATTAACCGAAAACACACTGTAAAAGCAAAAGCGAGGGGGGAAAAAACGGCACGGTGGTGCAGTGGTTAGCGCTGTCGCCTCACAGTAAGAAGGTTCAAACCCTGGTTGCCCTGGTCTTTCTGTGTGGAGTTCGCATGTTCTCCCCGTGTCTGCGTGGCTTCTCTCGGGTTCTCTCTCTTCCTCCCACCATCCAAAGACATGCAGGCTAGGTTGATTGGTTACCCTACATTGTGCATGAGTGGTTGTTTGTCTATGTGTGGCCCTGCGATGGACTGGCGACCTGTCCAGCGTGTACCCTGCCTTGCGCCCAATGTCAGCTGGGATGGCTCCAGCGACCCTGTACGCAGGATAAGTGGTTGATGATGGATGGAAGTTGTGTTTTGGTACTGTAATCAGCATTGGTTGCTAACTAGTCTCGCCTAGCCAGACCGATCTGTCTAGTTGCTGCCCCTCCAGAAGTTGGACAATCAGAAGAAGATGGGCTTTTAGGAAGGGGGGCCTTAAAGAGACAAGAGTCAATACGGACTAGGGCAATTACAATCTTAAGAAGCTGCAGCCTCTATTCATTCAATTTCTAGCTAAAATGACGATTATTGTTGACCCTTTTCTCTCTCTCCTGCCATTCACTGGTTTTGTGCAGAGTTTTGCGTGCATGCCGTGCTGCCGACAACTGCACGCATGTTGTGGTTCCTCGCGGGTCTATTTCAAGTAGCCGGCCATTTAAAAAAATGATATAATATTCTTTGTGTGGTTCATCTCTCCGTATTAGGGCTGACCCCTAATAGTCGAATCTTCAACTATTAAGGGTCAGCCCTAATACGGACAGAGTGAATAGAAGTGCTGCTGACATGGACAATATGAGAAAATGAATGTTTTTTTAAGGGTCCAAGCCGGAGTGGGGCTGGAAAGTGCGATTACAAGGCATCACGGTTCCCAGTACCAGCAGAGCTGGGAACCCGATTGTAATAGTTCTGATTTTCATAATTATTCTTCTGTACCAAGCTGATAAAAGTTTGTGCTCCTCAGATTGACACTCAAAATAAAAACTTTTGGATTTATAAGCTAACAAATGTTTGCACAAAACGCTAAAACAGGAAGTGATGTCATATCTTAGGTTTGGAATGGCCGATCGACACCAAGCTGCAAAATTTGGTGCAATTGGCCCTAGGGGGCTCTACTGAACATGAAATATTCGTTCCTCTATAACCACACGTCGCATTGACATGAAACTTGAGCCGATTTGTTCAGGACAGTCCCTTGTCTCTAGGGACCAAAGTTGACCCAAACATGCCCATAGGTGGCACTGTTATTGCAGATTAAAGACGTAAAGAAAATCCGATTGATTTATATGTATTTTATATAACCACAAGTAAGACTGATACCAAATTTGGGTCAGTTGTTCCCCATGTTCCCCTGATGACAGCTGCAAAATCTGGTGAAATTCGGCTTATAGGTGGCGCTATAATCCATGCTCAGATACCGTGGGAAAATCCTATTCATTTCAATGTGAACCAAAGGACATTTCGTCTCATAACTACGCGACAGTACATCGCACAAATGTTATGTCTGTGTTTGGGAGATACTGCTGAATTGCATGGGATAGGACGCGCCTCTGTGCCATCATGTGTTTTTTTTGTTACATCGCCACAACTGAAAAACATATAATAATATAACTCCTCCGAAACCGCAAGTCTGAGCGGCACCAAACTTGGCACGTATTGATATGCAAAAAACTCAGATTTATAAGCTAACAAATATTTACACCAAACGCTCTAAACAGGAAGTAATGTCTTATCTTAGGTTAGGGATGTCCGATCTACACTAAACTTGGGGACCTTATGTGGCACGCCTTCCAGTGGGGCTGTATGAAATTTGGTCTCTAGGTGGTGCAGTTAATTGATATGAAATAAAACTTGCTTAGACATAAATTAATTTTATATCTACGTTTCAAACTCTGGTCATTTATTCACCACGGGCCCCCGAAGCCACGGCGGGGCGCCCAGGTCGACTCGACTTGGACCCCACTTATAACTGCTTGCAGTTCTAGTTTTACCATTAAAGCATGTATGAAAGTAAAGAAGAAATGAAGAAAATATGTATGAAGATAAAACTGAGCACAATATGCGTTGGATCCAATTCCATGACAAATACCGAGCAAACATAGCAAATGATGTAACTAATGATAGTTAGTTAAATTCACAAGCTAGAAGTGTCCTAAAAATTCAAATCAGCTGCACTTTCACCAGCTGCAAAATTAAAGTGATAAACAGAATAATCATCAACATGGGGCCATTACACTGGCTGTTCTTCCCTCTGGTGGCTCTTCATATGTGTTTTCAGACAGTGGCTCTGAGTGAAGGCTTTGTCGCAGACGGTGCACTGGTAAGGTTTCTCGCCGTTGTGGGTCCTCATGTGGACCTTCAGGTATTCTTTGCGAGCACAACCTTTCCCACAAACCCCACAGACAAATGGTTTGATGACTGAATGGGTTGTCAGATGGGCCCTGAGAATGCTCCTTTTGTTAAAGGTTCTTCCACACTCTGAGCATCCGTACGGTCTCTCTCCAGTGTGAATTAACATGTGTCTCTTCAGAGCTCCTTGAGATGACAATCCTTTACCGCATTCGCTGCACATGATCTTCTCCTTGCTGTGTGATTTCAGGTGAACCTTTAACTGACCTCTTGTGGGAAACATTTTGCAGCAAATATCACAGAGGTACGTTTTCTCTCTCTCAGTGTGAATTTTCTCATGTTCCTTTACTATTCCAGGAGTTAAAAACTGCTTCCCACAAACCTGACAGCTGTAACGTTTCTCCCCAGTGTGACCCAACTTGTGTCTGGATAAAGACCGAAGGTCACCGACAGATTTACCGCACACATCGCAGCTGTAAGGCTTCTCACCTGTGTGGGTCCTGCTGTGAACCCTCAGCTGTTGTGTAAAAGCAAAAGACTGATTACAGACATCACATTTGTGTGGTTTATCCTCCACATGCTTCCACCGGTGAGTCTTCAAAGTAAAATTATTCGTATACGCTTTATGGCAAACATCACATTTGTATGGTCTCTCTCCTCTGTGTAGAGTAGCATGCCTATTCAGACCAACAACAGTGAGAAAAGACTTTCCACAGACGTTGCAGCGGTGTGTTTTCTGGTGACTTTGAAGATGACTCCTCAGCTCCTCTACAGACTCTGGATGTTCTCCACAAACTCCACAGAGCCTTTCTGGATCGTCCACATGACTCCAGGCATGTTTGATCAACATGTTCATTGACCCACGAAGAGCTTGGCAGACTTTACAGGACAGAGGAGCGTCGCTCTGATCAGTCGACGCCTTCAGAGACGACTGCACCTGTTTCCTTTTCTTTGTAATGACTCCTGAATGTTCGACTTCCCTCGGTTTCGTCATCGTCTTTGATGAGTTCTGTTCAGTGTCACTCTCCCTCAGCTCCTCATCTTTCTTGTCTGGTTTCCATTCTTCATCTCCGTCATCTTCCTCCACCTCATCATCAACGTCATCATCATCGTCCCTTTCAGCTGCAGAGCAAGCAGAAGAAAGAGCACTAAAGTCATCTGATATTCCATATTCTTTATTTTTCTCTGCTTCCACTTGTTGCCATCTCGAGTTGAACACACGATCTGCTTTGTTGACCTCCACTTTTTCTTGAGGATTGTTGTGGGAACTGAAGGTAGAAAATATAGAGTACCATTATTAAATGTACCTTCATCTTTGGCAGTTTCAAAATGTACTGGGTTATGCTTTGTTGAAATATGAAGTCAAACACTGAACTAAACATTTCAGCATTATTATACAAGAAGAGAAGATAACGTACGTTAGCAGGACAGGGAGGAGTTGATCCTTGATTGCTGTTTAATATGTAAAGTTGTATTTTTGACGCCAAGCTCATAAAGATGCTCATTGAATTTTTTTGACTCACCTTGCATGTGGCCTGTTTTTATCATTGCTCGTGTCATTGACTGCTTCGTCTTTTCTCTGCAGGGGAATATAACGGTGCAAATGTGAGTCAGTCACTCTTTAACAAAATGGTCTCTGTAAGGGTCCTTTTCATAATGTTGTCAGAACAATCGGAGCTCAGTTGAAAAAACAAGCCCTTTTAGTGGCGATGTACTGTACCAATTCAAAACTGTTTGTACCCATTAGTCACTTAGACACCAAAACACAGTACTGTGTAAAATTTTTTGCCATTGGATTTAATTAAGATTATCTCCTGTTTATTTACTTTGTATGTTGTTAATTGATAAATATAATTTATTAGGGTTGAGCCGATAGATAATGCCATCGTGGCTGACAGACAATGTTGAGCCGCTATCGGTTATCACGGCAGCCGGTGCGCCGCATGCGGGCTTGTTAATTATGTAGCCTATCAAACAATCAAAACCAACCTCGGCAACTGTGTGTTCACTGTTGCTTTACCTGGTCCGTGCTTGTAAAAATAGCCACCGTGTCCACGTCTTGTAACGGAATTCCAAGTTTTAACCAGTGAACTCAATGTGTGGGGGAAACATGCTTGATTTTTTTCACACCTGCCAAACTTTTGTACAGTAGTGTAAGTAACACTGCCCAGGTTTAATTTGATCTGCACTTTCCAGAGAATATCACAAGACATAAATTGTGTCATATTATGTTCCAGGCCATTGGTAAAATAAGTAGATCTACCTTTGCTCGAATATAAAGTGCTGATCTTCCTTTCCCTATGGATTGGATGGACCTTTGGATCTCCTCTGGTGTCAGCGTGTTTAGTTTCAGAGGCGTCAATGTCCTGGTTGTGTCAGTGGTAAAGACATCAAAGTGTCCGGTCAGCTGAGGGAAGGTGGACCTCAGCAGGTCCAGGAAGTCGTTCTCCTGCAGGCCTCGATCACATCTCAAGTCCTGCACTAGGTGCTTTAACACTAACACACAAACAAATTCATCACAGAGTTCAATGATTGTTTTACGGCCATTCTGATAAAACTGCAAAACATTAGTAGTGGAAACTAGAATCTTGCCGCCCTATTAGGGATGTAACAGTATTCGTCCCAAACTGTTTGGTACAGTAACTTTTGTATGCAGCTTCCTCAGTTCGCCCTCTGACCCAAAGAATAACTGTCATAATAGTTTTTTCATGACAAATAGTCTCACGGATGAAACAGAAATGATAGAGCACAGAACGTTTTGGCAGCGTGTAAGTTTCTGTCTATTAATCGGCTGTTTATCTACATCAGGGATGTAGTGCTGCTGCCTCTGAATGGCACAGTGGAGAGACAATAGCTGAAGGAAACTCCCATGACATTCAGATCTATTGTAAGAGAGTATTACGTTTTCGTTTTATTACGTTAGTTTCAGCTAGTTAAATGGGGCAACAATTAGTTAAGATGTATGTCTACACTGTTCAGCTTAAATCGGATATGCCTGTGGAAACAAAAATCAAATGTCAAAAATCCATTTTCACAATAAAAAAAGAGAAATCCTGCTTAGAAAAAAACATGCAGCAATAATTGTTTTATAAACACATCAAAGCCCTCTGAAGCGTGATTGAAGGTGTCTAGAGATTCCTAACCCTAACTGACAATATGGCAGCGACGCAACCTTCACTGACCACCAATTTAGTTCTGCCTGCTCCAGATTCCAGCACCAAAGGTAGGTCTCGTGAGGATACCATGATAGGTTTCGTCGCTGGGCTCCTATATGAAGAGGGTCACCAGGGCATGAGACCCCACAGTCTGGTTATCCACTCTAATATGACTGGCAGAAATTGCAGCCACATAGACCCTAAGGGTGGAAGTGAAGTGCTTTTTCTTTAGCAAAGACTGCAAAAAACGCAGTATTATCGGCATAGAGGACTACACCACTCTTGAAAGATCTTCCACCTGTTGGCATAAAGTGCCCTAGTAGAAGGTGCTCTGGAGTTCCTAATGCTTTGGATTACTGCCTGGTCACATGACCCTAGCTGCCTAGACCCATGACCATAGTTGCAGGCGTTCCGGGCTCTGATGCCAGATGTGGCCCCCCAGCTGCGAGAGCAGGCCTCGCCTCCTGGACAGGCACCATGGGACCCCGTCTAAAAGCTGCACTCTGTGCAAAATAACCGTCATCAGTGGGAATGGCGGAAAGCGGACTTGTTTCCTCCATCAGTGAAAACCAAAGGGAGCACTGGGTTGTGGATTCTGAGGCAAACAGGTGCACCTCTGCTGTGCCATATTTATCTATCTCCTCAGCCAAACTTATAGCATGGAGCTCGAGCACCTTTGTGTGCTCCATCCTTTCCATGGCTCGTCCAGAGACCACTCACCTCAGGCGGGAGATGCCTAAAGAATGCACTAGTTTGCACTAGTAATTTCCACTTTTTTATGGTGGATAAATAACAAGCACATCTTCGAATAACACAGTTCAACTGCAGCACAACTAAACTCAAAACTAACAGAACATGTAGGAAGATTTATGACAGGACTGTTGTGTTACCTCCAATGCACACCCCCAAAAACAACACACATACATCAAATTGTAGTATTCTCAGCAATCAACATCCTAACTTAACATTTCACTTTCATGTTGGAAACTTACCACCTTTTGTGAGCACAGTGGTCTGGGAGTCCTCTAATAGACAGACTCTGAGGTTTAGATGACTCCGTTTCCTCTTCACACACTGACCTCTGCAAGGAAACAATCAAGTAAAGAAAAACCCCACATACCCAAATATTTTTGTTCCACTCCCAAGGAAACATATTGTGTGGTAACATCATATCATATTTGAACCTTGTATTTGTTATCTGATGATCCGGGTCCCCTAGATCCTCCTCATCTAGACTAGTACTCTGTACTGGCTCCTCAGCAGACTCCTGCCCCCCATCTTCACCCGCCTCTTCCTCAATGTGGCCTAAGACATCACAGCTCCACGAATCCTCCACATCTGAACAAAAGATTTACAGAAAAAGAGTCAAAATTGAGATTTTGTTATATAGGATGGATCAACAACAAAATGTGCTTTGTGCAGCTTTTTCTTTGTTAACTTCCAGGAGTAAAGTGTAGAGTGGTGCTTGAAAATAAAGTACAATCAAGTAAAATTACTCAAAGCAGAAAAATGCCCCCTGTGACTGTTATACTATTATATATTTATCATGAGATCATTATTATTAATGTGTTAATGTAAAAGCAGGATTTTACTGTTGAGGTGGAGCTCGTTTTGCACAATTTTGTCCGTCTGCAACTAATGACTATTTTCAATTTGGATTAATCTGCTGATTATATTCTCTATTAATCGACTGAATGTTTGGTTTGTAAAAATTATGGTATGAGGAGGATTCCAGTCAGGAAGAACCCCAAAGCACAAGAGACCTGCAGCTAACAATGATATGAGTATTTGAAGCTTCGATAGATTATTTGAACGATTCATTGATGCGTCATTTAAGAAGTACTTTTGCTTGGCGGGGGTAGCGGATTGGTGACAGGGACACACACACACGCTAAAAACCACATTTTGTCAAGAAAACACGTGAAATGTGAAACGGGAAATCAGCGATTGTTATTATAAAGATGGCGATTATAAAGACAAAGAATCTGGCTGAAAGGATGGATTAGCACACGCAGGTAGCAGGAAACGTCTGAGCTACAGAGAGAGCTGGAGGTGAGTCAAAAGGTGCAGTTACCTTGTCTCTGAGGTCCGCTGGCAGAACACGACTGTTTTCTGATAAGGTGCCGTCGTGCTGTCCCCGAGGCGACATAAGTTCATTTTATGGTGGAGGACGTAACTTACAGAGTTGTTGTTTTCTTTAGCTTGAAATAATCCCATACTTTGGACTTCTTTGTCCCTCACTATTTTCTCTCTCTTCCTCCACTTTGCAAACAGCGCCATCATAATCACGTCGTGTTCACAGCATAAGCGCGATGTGCAACAGTAATAACTGTCCCTGCGAAACACTGTGCTGTATAGTTAAATGGATTAAACGAAGCATCAATGCAAAGAATTTGTGTCAAAGCATTTTATTAACCGATTTTAGCGATTTTATCGATGAATCGTTTCAGCCCTAGTCAGCAGCAACCCAAAGCCACAGAAGGGACTCTCCAGATGTTAACATTGACACAGAATGAAAACAACCAGATCAGGAGGAGTTTTGGCTACGTTAGCAGGAACAGCCAAGAGGAAATAAGACATATAAGACTTGACTTGTGAAGTGAAAAGGTCTGGATCAGAGTTCAGTTCAGTTCTTTATTCATTGCCAGCGTTGTGCTGCAGTATTCATGAGGGAGAGAGAGAGAGAAAGACGAGCAAGAGGATTTGCTGTGCGAATGTGCTACTCTTAAAAATGACGTCTTTGACTTCCAGCAGTCACCTTGCCTCTCATCCACAGCGGCTGTATTTTGCACATCAACAATGTTGAGCCATCATCGCGATTGTAAAAGACACAGTTCAGTTATTTATTTGTCACAAAGTACTTAAAATATTTGCAGTGGAGCACCATCACCTTATATACGGTATTATTTTACATAAATTTATTATTTTAAAGAAACGGGTTGTTCCCCCCACGATGAGGTTGGGCATGCGCAGGAAACGATACTGTCCCCAGGTCGCCCAAACACCCCTGAGGCGTGACTTATTCTGAGGAGGCGAAGACGATCATCCTGATAGAAGTGATGGTCCCATGGGAAGATGCAAAGAAGCCTCAGAGACGAAAGCCACCAAGTACCAGGACCTGTACATTTAACTGTTGGGGAGTTTCATTTATAAAACATCATATTTTCTAAACTCGTCTGGCAATGTCTACATGCCGTGCCCCCTTTCAGGTTTTCGTAAAGCAAGCAGTGTGGCTGGACACTGGATCGTCACACGACCATCACCATCATCCATCTAATGATACTGAAATATTTAAAGCCGTAAACTACAGTACTTTAGTAAATGTACAGGACATACGAGACTGCTGCTCTTCCTCCTCTGGTAGTCCACGTCCCCCAGCCTCTTCCTCTTCACATACAGGTTCATCTGGATCAGAGATAAAGACTTGAATCGTTCATGTATCCGCAGTGTACATTACTCACCACACATAAGACTGGATTTGTGAAGTCTATAAAAATATGTTTATCTCCTGCTAATGGGGCACTAGTTCCAGAGACCCTGCAACGTCACGCCATCCCATTGGCTGCAAGGGCAGCAGCTGGATTGATGGCGAGTCCAAGTATAATCAGGGCTCTACAATGCGACAAATTTAGTCTCATATGCCCCTAAAAATAGATATGTACGAACAGACAAAATGATTTACGAGTACAGTGTGAGAGTAACGGCTACAACCTACTGTCACCCTCCGCCCCCCTGCCGCTCACCGGTCATTAGGGCTGAAACTAATGACTATTTTCGACTAATCTGCTAATTATTTATTCGATTCGTCGACTAGTCACGATTATTTTTGTCACCCCTTAACCCTATTTAAACAATTTAATTAATTAAAGATCTTTCAAGTAAACTGTTCTCCAACACACAGCCTTTACTATTCATAATGAACACCAGTATCAACGCCAGGGGGAAACCAGGGAAGAAGACAAGACAGCGAAGGCTACTCCTATATTTCACTCGTTTCTGCAAACTTTTAACTGTATAACAAAGATTTTTATTTGGGAACTACTGTATATAAAATAAAAGCAAATTAAAAGCAAGTACTAAAACCACAACTGTATACTAACAATGTAATATTAGAACAATAAAGCAACAGCCTCCAAAAGTGCTTATAAGTTTTAGGCAATGCATCACGAGCCAGATGTTCCTTGATGTACTTTAAACCGTTACACATTACTAATAACTTTTTTAAAGCTGGGTCTCTCCGACATTGCCAGCGTTGTGTTGGACAGATTTGTGCTGCAGTGTTCATGAGGGGGAGAGAGAGAGACGAGCGAGAGGATGTGCTGCTCGAATGCGCTACGGCGATGATCTGCAATCAAATACGCCTAGTAAAAAAATTTAAAATACAATAAAATCAGTATGTGGCGGTCAGCCACAAATAAATGAACGAATAGGAAACACTGCCTTTCCTCGGTTGTTGCTGCTGCAGTGATCTGAGTAAGTGGGACCAGAGGGCTCTGTGGGCGTGGCTGGGACCGCTTACCTCGCGGGCGCTTGTGGAGCTTCTCAACCCCAAAAAACGTTTGAGCACATTTTCGATTCACCATCAACTTTGGTAAAACTGCCAATATTCAAGTTCTACACAGTTGATTTCTCAACTCAAAACCGCTCAAAATTTTTATAGTCGACGTCATCAATTACATTGACTAATCGTTGCAGCCCTACCAGTCATTCTGCGCCCGGTTGCTTGTTTTACAAAAACGGTGACAAAGATACTGTCAGTGACAAATCCGTACCGCCTGCCAGATCCGTTCTGCACATGCACAAAAATGGTTCTGTCAGTCACAGGAGGTTACTGCAAATCTGCCTCTTCAAAATGATCCAATTAAATCTTTAAAATCAAGATAACAAAACGTTTTTTAATCACTGGAGATTCAACTGTTCACTATGACGTAATAGGAATATACTTAAGATATAAAAAAACCTTATTCAACAGTACATTTTAATTTCTAATAATTACAATCTAACAAAGTAGCAACACAAAGGAGGCTAACGGTAGCTGCTAGCCCGGCTGATGTGCACAGCTGTAGGGTTAGCCGGTCGACATGCATACAATCGCTGACTTAGGTGTAGGCACATACTACTGTGATGGTTAGGGTAAGAATAAGGGGCTTTGGGAAGCTGTCAATGCCTTTTTTACCAACATAGCTAGCTACCTAATTAGCTAGTTAGCTAATAGCGCTTCTGGTCTCGACAGGGCATCTCATATGCACGCCGAACGGTACCTTTTCAATCAAATAAAGCTTTGTCAGCCTTTCTGAAAGTGTCAGTATTTGACGCCCTCAGATGAGAACTGTCAGCAACACATGAGTAATTATGAAAAGGCACATTTGTGGTAACCTTCTTTGACAGATATAGGACCTACAGATACAAAGTTGACAACTGGAGCGGTAACACAGAAGCAAATACGTATTAGAAAGGTCTAGGTTTGGCTAGCTGATCATGAAGTTATATCTGCTGCAGTTTGCTGAAACAACTTCACAAAGCCAATGAGCTCCTCAATATCACTTTCCGTGAACTGACCAATCACAGCCTGGACGGGGCGGGACATTAAAAAAGGTTTGACGTGCTACTCCAAATGTTTAAGTCATTGTTCTGCATAAATGTTACGGTTATTATGTTAGTACTTAGCATTACCAAATTAAAGACCAATGTAGATCATTTTTCTTGCGCAGGGATTTAATGAATGAAAACAACCCACAAAAATGAAACTGCTATAATAGAATGAATATTATAATAGTGGAAGGCTGTAGTATACTGACATTATAATCTATTTAGTAACATTTTATAATTAATATATTAACGTTATACTACAGGATTTTATTAAATGAACATTATACTCTTTATTCAATGTTTTAATATTATACTATGCTTAATTATGCTTCTTCTAGCCTCCTCCTGAGAGCAACACACTCCCCTTGTTCTGTTTTACTGAAGTTATTACTATAAATATTGTTCAGTAATATTGTTTACATAAAGTTTGGCGTGGTTTGTGTGGGTGCTGCAGGTGTATCGTGCATCTGTCCCTGGTTCAAAAACTACAAGTCCTTATGCCACAAGCGACAATGAACCAATCACGGTAGTTTTCTGTGATTAGTGATCAGTGTCTTAAAAGCTGTTTTCAATGTATCACATTTTCATTTAAATCTTAATATTTTAAAAAAGCTTTGACAATATTTTAAAGCCTTTGCTGACTGTCCAGATACAAAGAGTCCTTTCACATCATAACTGCACACAAGGAGGAACACACACGTAGTATAAATATGTATATAATAAATAGTACATTAATTAACTGTGTTACTTTCACAAAGAAGCTTAGCGATACCTGTTTCGTAAACAAGGTTTATAAACAGTGTGAAAAGCTATCAGGGATATCCCGCTATACAAATCTTTTGCATTCAAAAATGTAACTTGAAATTATATTATTGGATTATAATTATATTCATGCATTAATGTGTTCCTCACTTTAATGTTGCAGCTGATTAAGCCAGAGCTCATAATGCTGGTTAGCTTCACCTGTAATAATAATCATACATTTTTGTTGATAATATTATTTTGTAATAATATGATTCTGCAAAGTATTAGTGATAAAAGTTTGCGGGGTAAAACGTACAGTATTTGCCTCTGAATGGTGGTGAAGTAGAAGTAGGTTCTTACAGATATGTAACGTTTTGTAACTGCTGAGTGAAATTTATCCTAATAGTAATAAAATCGTCTTCTAAGAGCTGAAACCTCGATCATTAAAAAGGCTCCTGGTCCAGGACTCCCCTGCTCCAGACTTGTATTAAATCACCAGGTTTTTAAATGGGGTTTGGTGCAGTGTTAAAACAACAGCAGCTGTTAAGCACAGTGTTTCATGTGGTTCCTAGTCTGTTCCCCACCTGTCCTACAGAGAGAGACCCGAGGCTGCAGCACCGCCTCCAGCTGCCTCCTCTGCCGGTCGATCTCCTGCCTCAGACCCGAAGCCTCCTCCTCGTACCCGGCTACGGTTCTCTCCACAACCGCGAAGATTTCCTGCGCGGCTGTTGTCAGTTTCTCTGCGATGAATCCTCTCAGGATCTCCGTCTTGGACAGTTTATAGTCCACAGAGTCCCCGAGGAGACAAACAGCACGTTGACTGTCTCCATTTGTTCCCGAGAAAGTCTCAAGTTTGACCAAAAGTACCGCCTGAGATGCGCACACTAATGTTGTCCGACGGGAAAACATCAAAACCAAGGGTTCCGCCCCAAATCTTCTTTGTTGTTTAACCGCGGTTGGCATCCAACTTTAATGGTGCATTACTGCCCCCTTCTGTACTGGAGTCTGGCCTGGAGATAAATAAATAAACAATCAAAACAACACGTAAACATTAAAACAAACAAATTAAACTATATCCTTTCAGCCAGTCCCTAAGTGATTTCCCTTGGCACCCTAACTTTCTTATCTCTCATCTTTATCCTCTCCCTCTCACATTTCTGACACTCAAACACCACTTTCCATAGACTCAAAACTATCACAAAACTCATACCTTCCTGATATGTGCTTACCCATAATAAGTAAGTAGTAGGCCTACTTATATAACCCACAGCTTTCAATTCTTAGCCTAGTAAACATCATTTCTTCCCTTTGTTTCCTGTGACCCTCCCTGCCCCAACCTTTTGTTGAATGTTATGTAAATGTAAATTATGTAAATTAAATGTTATGTCTCCCTTTTTCCTCTGCATCCCGGTGTAGACCCTACCTGCCACATTTTATTAGTTTTCGACCAGATTTGTGCTTTACCTTCTGCTTTATTTATTGAAATTACCATTTCAACAGCTTCCCGTTTACTGGCTTGTTTAGCCAATCTCTCTACATTTTCATTCCCCTTCACCCCTACATGTGCTGGAACCCATGTAAACCTTACCCTCACCCCCATCTGACAAACCCCTGAGTGAAGTTCTAGTACCTCATATACTAGGTCTTGCCTTGATAGAGACATCAATGATGGCAAACTCGTTAGAACTGCACTGATGCAGTGATGTTAATTAACTTGACGTACGTAGGTATTTTAACCCAAACCATGTCTTTTCCTAACCATAACCAAGTACTTTTGTTGCCTAAACCTAACCAAATTGCAACATTTCACAACTCTGATAACGTGCCGTTTCAAAATAGCTATGTTTAGAAACGCTACCGTTTTATTTTGAAAGTCTAACCTGACGCTCAGGTGTGCTGGGCTAAATGACAGGATTTTATTTGAATACACACCTGTTTGCAATGAGTCCTCTGTGTCAGATGTTCATCTTAATGATCGGTTAAATGAACCATGACGTCATTGGCACCAATGTAAATTCAGCTGTTAATGACTTATTAAAATTTTGGAAATTCACTTGAGTGTGAGGAAAGTTTAAGGTGTACATAATGAAAGTATGTGAGCATCAGTAAAGTTGTAGTATACTGTTTATTATAGTATGTATTTACACTGTATTTATGTTACACTGTATTTAAATTAAGGAACAAATGTCATACGAGTGTACTCTGTGTTTCGTTGTACTCTATATATATCATGCAGCACAGATGACAAACTGATGCAGAGATGACTGGAAAGATAATAAAATACTCGTGCTGCTGACTGCAATCTGACCTCTGGGACAAAAAAAATTGCCAGTCTTGCTCTCACCTGCTCTTCATACACACACACAAACACACACCTAACCACAGATTCGTATTAGGGTATATTTGTACAATGTCACTAGTGAACAGCAGTCAGAGAGTTTGGAGACGCAGGAGAAAGACAATCAGAAAGAAACTCTGTGGAGGTGGGTAGTCTTTAACTAAAATAATCTGTTAATCTTAAAGATTTAGTTATTTAACATTTAGACTTAGTCATTAATATATGTTCATTCTCTAGGAGACTATTGATATCTTTAAATTGTTTCTTGGTGGTAACTTCATTTACAGTGTGATTTGTTTGACTGATATTGTTGAGATCTTGTTTTTCAAAAGGGATGATGCACATGCACCTTCATGTTTTTAAAAATTAAAATCTTTATATTTTAAATTTACTAAGTTGGTATTACATGGGGAATCAATAATGTAAATTTTTTTTAAATGTGGGATTCCTGTAAACTATAATCTAAAATGTCATCTTTGGTTACTGTTTAAGATCTATTGTGAAATATTTTATTATTTTATTTTGTCAATTCAACCTCCACTTCTGAAAATGCAGAGAACCTGTGCCATAAAACAATAAGCAAATATATCTGCTTTCATTGAAAAACAAAAACTGTTGATGTACAAAGACTTAATATAGAAAGAAGAGTCACGATATACTTGAGGAAAATCAGACTTTTACTCGTGTAACCATGGTTCTCCCAGTCCCTCTTTGACCCCCACAAAGGCAGTGGATGTTAATGCTGTGTAAGAAACATCACCTGTGTTTTTGTTTTTTTTTTACCCTGAATGTCAAGATACCAGGTATGATTATTTACTGCCAGTGAAGTTACAATGTTAATAAAAGCGTGTATGTTATTTTGAGGAGTTTAATGCAATTACTCTTGAAATTAAACTATTCTTTTAATAACGTACCTTTTAGTGGAGAGATTTTTTTTTCTCTGTCTCCATTTTGATTTGATTTTAAAATTCTCTCTTCACCTCCCTTTGGGTTCCCTCTGCCTCTACTTCTTCTCTTCAGGCCTCCACTTTATAAAATATGTCAGTCAACTCCTCTTCCTTTGACGACCCCTCCCTTCTTCCTCATAACCTCTCCTCCTCCAACTCCTCCTTCCCTCCTCTCTTCAACATGTGTTTCAGGTCCAAAATGAGCATCATTGTCTTCTCTTCTATCTCCATCATCTATATCCTCCTCCTCCTCCTCCCTCTCCTCATCTTCGTCCTCTACCTGGGATACCAACAGTGGGGGAAAGAGCGCTCCATTTCCACGTCTGCAACAAGTCACTATGACCTCTTCACCTATCACTCCATCGCCATGCAGCTGAACGAGTTCTTCGGGTTTGTTTTCTTTTTTTGTGGCAACTACATCATTCTCGAAGACATGATATCTGTGGGGTCCTCCGTCTGGTCTGTCACCTCCCTGTGTGGAGCACTACCTGGCCGTTGTTCACCCCATCACCAACCTGAGAGTGAGACAGGCGGGCGGGGTCAGGATCAGAAACATCAGCATTGGATGTGTTTGGTTATTGAGCTTTGGATATGTGGCTGTAACATATCAAAGGAGCTTTAAGTTGAACATGATCTTTTATTACTGCAATAGTGTTTTCTTCTTAATTGTCCTCTCTTTTTTCAGTATTTCAATTCTCTGTTCTCTTAAGCGTCCAGGGCCGGGGAAGTGGGTGGGAACAAGGAGCGGGTTGACCAATCAAAGCAGAGGGCTTTCCACACCGTCACTGCTATGATGGCAGTGCTATGTTTTAGTTTTGGGGGGAATCTGCTTTGCAATGTAATGCACAGTTCATCTATGCTTATTGACAAATGTGTTGGGTTGTTGTTTACATTCTGGTTTGAACTGCCCAGCAGATTTGTGTTACCTCTGCTGTTTCTACAGCGGGCAGGAAAATTACAATGTTGTAAACAAAACACTGAAACAGGACAAATGTAGGATTACATGTTAGAGTATCATACTATAAATTCTCAAATAAAAGCAGAATTTAAATGTTCGTCGCCCCATAATGAAACAACACTGTTGACACAACCTGTTCACTCCCAAGTCTTCACATATGGACACATGGTCAAGACCCCTTGGCGTAAACTTGTATTGCACTGGGGAGCCCCTTAGTTCAACGCAATATGTCAGTCAACTCTTCATCCTTTGATGACCCCTCCCTTCTTCCTCATAACCTCTCCTCCTCCAAATCCTCCTTCCCTCCTCTCTTCAACATATGTCCATCATCATATCTCCATCATCTACATCCTCCACCCTCTCCTCATCTTCGTCCTCTACCTGGGATACCAACAGTGGAGGAAACAGCGCTCCGTTTCCACTGACCACACTGGAGTGACCACACTGACCTCTTCACCTATCACTCCATTTAGGTTTCCACGTATGTTTGTCGTTTGTCAACTCTCAAAGTAGATGTGGGATATTTAACAGAAAAGTCAGAGTAAAGCTTGATTTATACTCCTGCGTAGGGTCTACGTGCGTACCTACGCCGTAGGCTATGCACGTAGCCATGCATTTTATACTTTTGCGTCGGTGTCCCCATCATTCTGCGATTACACCCCCAAACGCTAGTCGGCAGTAGCGCAACAGCGTCCACTGTGTTGACTTTTGCCGGCCGAGCAGGCTAACTTCTGGTTTAGCGCTCCGCTAACGTGAATGGGGGTAAAATTATATATGTGCAGTTGTTGTAGCCTTTTCAAATACTATCGACCGAGTTACAGCTGCCGTTTTGGCCGATTGTAAAAGTTACTTCAAAACACGGGGACTTCCTGTCGGCTTGGAGGCACTGCCAAGCAACCCAGCCGACAAATCACAGAACTTACGGTCCGCGTCGCCTTGACGTGTAGTTAAATTTTTGAGGAGGTGCACGTCAGGCGACGCCATAGGTGACGTCGTAGGGTAAGGGCCTACGCAGAGGCTACGCCATCGATTTGACGCAGAAGTATAAATTGCAGTTAAGGAGGTGATTGGGGTGGATGGTGGGCCAGAAACCGGACTTGGGAAAAAAAAAGTCAACATTGAATGTTTTAATCAAGTTATGTAAGATACACAAGTCACGTTACTGAATGTGATCCAAAGTTATATAACGTGATTTTAAGACAAACCATGATTTTTCCACAAACCTTAAGTAGTTTTGGTGCCTAAATTTAACCAAATGCAATGTTTGACAACATTAATAACTTGTTTTATTTTGTTTTGGTGCCTAAATTTAACCAAATGCAATGTTTGACAACATTAATAACTTGTTTTATTTTAAAAGTCTATCCTGTCATTGCATATTTGTTGCTAACTTGACCACAAAACAATGCTAAAGGGTTACCCAGGATGTTAAAAAGTGACGCCCTGAGGTCTTGACTAAATGTCCATTTGTGACGAGCTTGGGGTTGAGAATGTGTTGGTCGACATGTACTTATAACAATATAGTGCTTAAATTTGGGGGTTGCTTGTTGAATTTGGATCTTGAATTACATTCTGTAATTCAAGTCATTTAAAGTTTTGATGGTAAGATAGTCAGAGACACAGGAAGACGGTCTTCTCTGCGTTTACAAAAAGCTTATGATGAAAGCTAACTGAGATTTACGCTCAACAAAAATTACAGTTCAGACTGATGGGAATATTATCAGCCTGAACTGTATTGGTTCATAAACAAAGTGCTGGGGAAAATGTTATTTTGATCAGCAAAGTAATAAGGTACCATCTTCTGAGGACGTTGATTACATAAAATTTCATAGCAATTCAAAAGCTGCTGAGATATTTCAGTCTGGACCAAAGTGGTGGAATGACCAGCCAAGATTGCATCACGCCATATGAAAAAGACTTAACTAACGAGGCATACTGTGATAACACTGAAGGTAAATGCATGGTTTGAATTACAAGGGGATTGGGGGGGTCTGACCCCCCTAATTAAGGCTTGGACCCCCCCAAAAGAGGCAAAGACAACAGTTAAGGGGGCTTTTTCCTACCTCTAATTGTAAATGTTACAATATATTTCCATATTTATGCCATATATTCAGGAATCTTGCAATGGACTACACCATTTCCTCACCTTGATGTTAGTTGAACGTTTTGTCAGCCTGCATCACTCATAGCTGCTCCAGTATAGCGCATCAAAAACAAGCTAATGGAGGCACTGTAGCTTCTTTAATACACTTAACTTTCCTACCTTCAGAGTTTCGTAATCAGCATTTCTTTAACTTCAAATGAGCCATCTGATGTTCATTTCATTACAATTATAAAATGTCATTTAACACTGATGCTTAGACATGAGTGAAATTGAGGATTTGTTATTGTAGAGATACATTTTGACATCAACATAGAGTTTAGTATTTCATTTTAAGTCTTTTGTGATGCTTTTTTACGATAAGCATGCCATATGTTTTCACTGTGGAATTCAGTAGTTTTACCTCGTAAATGTTAAAATCCAGGTCTGTTATTTCAAATGTATTCAGTTTTATTTGTAGCGGTAATTCCTAACAAAAGTAATCTCACTGCACTTTTCTGCAGAGACCCAACAATTCCCCAACAATGTTTGACTATGGCTTAATTGAACACAGACTACATTTCATTTACAGTCAACATGAGCAAAAGAAAAGGATATATTTTCTAAAAAAATACTTTTATTTGTTTCTGGTTGAGCATTGTGTGGGTCTGTGTTTGAGCAGAAATGATAGTCTGCTGTTGTATGTTTTGGTCTGACTTTCGAGCAGGTCTGCTCTAGAATACTTGGTGACCCCTGAGTGCAAAAGTTGTTGTGTGATATGGGACACCATGACCTGGTGTTATAAGTGTGATTTATCATCATCTACAGACTGCAGGCATACAGGTAAATAAGTAGATGTGTTTTGAGCATTGTAAGATTTAAGTTCACTGAAGCACGCGCCTGCTCTGTACTGGGTTTCCTTATGACCTGAATTAAAAGTTGACCTCCCTGATTGTCATTTGTATAATCCACAACTTGGGTAAATGTAAAGCTTAAAGTGTATAATTAATACTGTTAAAGGTTTGTACAATAAAGTAGTCCTACTAAGCACTGATTATCGGACTGGCTGCGTCTTAGATCGTCTTGGACAACTAAATATTTGCACTCTGTGTTCTTCTGAGAAAATCTTGTGGAAAATCTAGTCAGAAACTGACAGGATGTGATTTAAATACACAGCTTTTATGAGCCGGACCTTCCTATACACCCCCAAATGACTCACTCTGTTTAGTCTTTGGATGTGAGGACGAAGAGGGACTATGCTTTTGGGCAAGAGTAAAGAGAAAACAACTCAATCAGGTAAACTTCGGCTAATCCATTCTTTTCCTTCCAAAGTGTGATGTCAGAAAATAACCAATGTTAAGAGTGAAATACAACTATTTATTATGTTTAATGAAACCCAACGGTATTTATAAAATGCAACTTGGAAAATATAACCACGTCTCGCACAAACATGCGTTCACACGAAATTAAACTAACGCAGCAACCTCCAGAAAATGTATGGGCCTGATAGCACTCCTTACTTTAAAACAAGACAATGCTGATCGAGCCAGTTTGATTGGGAAAGACACAGACACAGGGAGAACATGCAAACTCATACTATTATTTAGAAATTTATAATAGAATAATAATAGATTTTGACTGTTAAATTCACCTCAGTGCACTACTCTTAAAGAAGAGTCTATAGTTAATTAAATTAAAAAGTGTCATAAAATCTAGTAAACAATTGTTAACCAAAATGACCATCAATAGCCAGCACGTTCAAGGATTTGAGGTTCTATGTAGAAGAGGTTGTTGATATATTCTTATGCAAGATTGAAGAAACCAGAATGTATATTTACATCCACATGCATTTACTGAAATGACTAACAAAAGCAAAAAATAAGAAATGTTCACGTAAATATGTGACGAGTTGGGGAGTAAAAACGGGTAGGTCTGAAACTGTCCAAGCCTTTAGACAGACTTGAGCCTAGTTCACACTAAATGATTTTAAAGTGGTCACATCATGCTCATTTTCAGGGTCCTAATTAAAGAATATATTTAGATGGTTTAATTGAAAAAAGAACACCATATTTTTGGCATACTGCACATTGCTGCAGCCCCTGATTTTCCCCTGGGCTTTGACCGCTGCATTTTAGCTACTGAGTGAAGCATCTCACTTCTATATGATCATTGCTGGATGTTGTACATGCACAGTACCTAGTCAACGACTACTGGCCAATCAGAAGAACAGTAGGGCACATACTGTCAGTAAAGTCAGTAAACACAGCTTCGGTTTAGCTGTACACTGTCTCTACATCACGGTAACAACTTTATGTCCACTGACTGCTTGGAGGGTATGTAACATTTGGTAAGGAGGGTGCGGGGAGGCAACAGGCGGACATCTCGTCACTGTGTGTCGGGTTTTATGACGTGTGTTACATAATGACCAAACTAAAGGCCGGACTACAATCGAGCTGTTTTCAGTCACTCTTCTCATGTTTTCTTGACAAAATGTGGTTTGGAGACCAGGCGTTGGGTGACAAAGTCATTTATTAATATGAACGTCCAACATCAGTTTTCCCATATGATGTCTGGAATTGTGCTTTTACACAGCAAAACAGGAGTTTTTTTCTCCGGGAAATAGTCCGTGTGGTTTAGGCGAGGGGTAATGTCTGGGTGGAGCGTGCAGGAAGACGATGACTCATCCATAATAATAACCGTTTTGACTTCAAATCAATATTACATGTATTTGGACATATTAAAAATTTCAACATAAGAGTGAACAGCAATTTACAGATATGCAGAAATAATTATGAGGACAGCTACAGTCTATGTAATGTCATCAACACGACCACTTGGCTCACTGGCTTGGCGTGAATTTACCGGACATTGACCTGCTTTATTCACACATGGGCTCAACTGGACATTACTCTGATTTTGTACTAGGATGCTGGCAATCTGTTTAAAGTCCAGGGGCCGTATTACAGAAACTTCCTACCTTAAGTCTTAAGTTAAGATAGGATATTTCTCAATTTCATACTACAGAAGAGAATCCTAACTAACTTTAGGAATCCTATCTTGTCTTACTTCATCCTATCTTATCTCAGGTTAGGAAATCCTAAATACTCAATCCAACATCGGTTAACAACTTTTATGTCTGTTACCTAGCAACCGATGCCACTTTTCTCATCTCGCTGAGGTAAACGGCTTTTAATCGCTGTTTTTTGGTAGTTTTTTTTTTATGAAACATAAACTGAAAACAGAGCAGAAACAACAACTATCATTGAACTTCAAGTCAGATGACTTAGAGGTGTTTGTAACCTCCGTCGAGAAATCCAAATCCACATAACACTTAACTCGGGAGATTAAAGACAGAGAGTGGGCTTAAATAGTCGACACAGTCACCGCCGCATTTCCACCATCAACATCAAAGACTTGCATTAGGATCCTTTTGTTACATCAATCTTTTACATTATAATAATGAGACATTATCTAGCGTTACATCACCTACAGCCTTTCTACTAACAATTGTTTTGTCACCAAACATATCGGTAGAATCAACTAGGTTCCGCCTTTTGACATTTTGTTCATTTTGTAAAAGCAATTAAAGAGCAGCCATGTGGATTAAACGAGTTAGCAAACACTACCTGGTGGAAAAGTAAAGTTAGGAGAGTTTATTTAAGATTTTACGAAGTTAGGATGCTTCTGTAATACACTTTTCTTATCTAAAGTTAGGAAAGGAACATTGACCTAGGAACTGTTGATCTGTAATGGCCTTTTTCCTAAATCACTTCCTAACCCTTATTACCATGGTTACCAAACATTTAGGATAGGATCTGCCGGTTTTAGGAACTTTCTGTAATTCGGCCCCAGATCGACTAATCCAGACACAAACAGCTCATCTGGTCCAGAAAGTTCATGGTAACAGCGCAAATACAATAGCTCTCCATTAATTCTTCTTCCATCACAGAGTACTTTATGCTGCAGAGGGGTGCCACAAAGTGTCGTCACAAAGCAGCATCTTGTTAATGTTTTGGATCTTTTCAGTGCAACACAAGATGAAGTGAGCTTGATATGTTGGTCAGTCTTTCAGGACTTCACTTCATCCACTGCTGACTGTTCTTCCCCCTGGTGGCTCTTCATATGTGTTTTCAGACAGTGGCTCTGAGTGAAGGCTTTGTCGCAGACGGTGCACTGGTAAGGTTTCTCGCCGTTGTGGGTCCTCATGTGGACCGTCAGATGTTCTCTGCGAGCGCACGCTTTCCCACAAACCCCACAGACAAACTCTTTGATGCCTGAATGGGTTGTCAGATGGGCTATGAGAATACTCTTTTTGTTAAAAGTTCGTGCACACTCTGAGCATTTGTACGGTCTCTCTCCAGTGTGGATTATCATGTGTCTCTTCAGAGCTCCTTGAGATGACAATCCTTTACCGCATTCGCTGCACATGATCTTCTCCTTGCTGTGTGATTTCAGGTGAACTTTTAACCCACTTCCTGTGGGGAACGCTTTACAGCAAATATCACAGAGGTACGTTTTTTCTCTCTCTGTATGAATTTTCTCATGTTCCTTTACTACTCCAGGAGTTAAAAAACGCTTCCCACAAACCTGACAGCTGTATCGTTTTTCTCCAATGTGACCCAGCTTGTGTCTGGATAAAGATCGAAGGTTACCGACAGATTTACCGCACACATCGCAGCTGTAAGGCTTCTCACCTGTGTGGGTCCTGCTGTGAATCCTCAGCTGCTCTTTGACAGCAAAAGACTGATGACAGACATCACATTTGTGTGGTTTATCCTCCACATGCTTCCACTGGTGAGTCCTCAAAGTAAAACTGTTCGTAAATGCTTTATGGCAGATATCACATTTGTATGGTCTCTCTCCTGTGTGTACAGCAGCATGACCATTCAGACCAACCGCAGTGAGGAAAGACTTTCCACAGACGTTGCAGCGGTGTGTTTTCTGGTGACTTTGAAGGTGACTCCTCAGCTCCTCTACAGACTCTGGATGTTCTCCACACACTCCACAGAGCCTTTCTGGATCGTCCACATGACTCCAGGCGTGTTTGATCAACATGTTCATTGACCCACGGAGAGCTTGGCAGACTTTACAGGACAGAGGAGCGTCACTCTTATCAGTCGACGCCTTCGGAGACGACTGCACCTGTTTCTTTTTCTTTGTAATGACTCCTGAATGTTCGACTTGTCGCTTCCTTGTTGTCTTTGATGGGTTCAGTTCAGTGTTGCTCCCCCTCAGCTCCTTGTCATTCTTGTCTGGTTTCCAGTCGTCATCTCCGTCATCTTCCTCCACCTCATCATCATCATCATCATCATCTCCATTGTCCCCTTCGCTCTCAGCTGCAGAAGAAAGGGCACTAAAGTCATCTGATGTTCCCAGTTGCTCTCCATCTTCCTCTGTTTCCACTTGTTGCCGTCCCGAGTTGCTGGATCGAAGATCTGTTTTGTTGATCTCCACATTTTCTAGAGGACTGTTGAAGGTAGAAAAAACGAGTCCCATTATTTAAATGCCCCTTCCTCTTTGGCGGTATTAAAATGTACTAACTGGGGTTACATGTTTAAAGATGAGTTAAACATATTTAGCACAAGAAGAGAAGATAATATACACTCACCGGCCACTTTATTAGTTACACCTGTTCAATCGCTTGTTAACACAAATCAGCCAGTTAAAGCAGCCAGTCACATGGCAGCAGCTCAATGCATTTAGGGATGTAGACGTTGTCAAGACAACTTGCTGAAGTTCAAACAAGGGGACTTTGAAGTGACTTTGAACGTGACATGGTTGTTGGTGCCAGACGAGCTGGTCTGAGTATTTCAGAAACTGCTGATCTGCTGGGATTTTCAGGCACAACATCTCTAGGGTTTACAGAGAATGGTACATGTCAGAAGTCAGAAGAGAATGGGCAGAGTAGTAACTCAAATAACCACTCGTTACAACCAAGGTATGCAGAATACCATCTCTGAACGCACAACATGTCGAACCTTGAAGCAGATGGGCTACAGCAGCAGAAGACCACACCGGGTGCCACTCCTTTTAGCTAAGAACAGGAAACTGAAGCTACAATTCACACAGGCTCACTAAAACTGGACAGTAGAAGATAAAACGTAAAACTTTGCCTGGTCTGATGAGTCTCGATTTCAGCTGCAACATTCAGATGGTCAGAATTTGGCCTAAATAACATGAAAGCAAGGGTTCATCCTGCCTTGGATCAACGCTTCAGGCTGGTGGTGGTGGTGTAATGGTGTGAGGGCTATTTTCTTGGCACACTTTGGGCGCCTTAGTACCAACTGATCATCGTTTAAATGCGACAGCCTCCCTGAGTATTGTTGTTGTTCATGTCCATCCCTTTATGACCACAGTGTACCATCTTCTGATGGCTACTTCCAGCAGGATAATGCACCATGTCACAAAGCTCAAATGATCTCAAACTGGTTTCCTGAACATGACAATGAGTTCACTGAACTCAATCCAACAGAGCACCTTTGGGATGTGGTGGAACGGGAGATTCTCATCATGGATGTGCAGCCGACAAATTTGCAGCAACTGCGTGATGCTATCATGTCAACATGGACCAAAGTCTCTGAGGAATGTTTCCAACACCTTGTTGAAAGTATGTCACAAAGAATTAATGGAGTTCTGAAGGCAAAACGGGGTCCAACCTGGTATTAGCAAGGTGTGCCTAATAAAGTGGCCGGTGAGTTTATAATGCCTATAAAAAGTATTCACCCCGTTTGGATGTTTCAACCTTTTGTTTCTTTTATACATGAAATCATGGTCAATATAATTTGGCTTTTTTGACAAGAACTTGCAAAAACAAAAACCCTCTTTAATATCAAAGTGAAAACAGATTTTTACAAGCTAATGTTTGACCAACAGGTAGAACAGCCAGCATGGGGTCGCTTTTATGTGAAGAGGCAGAAAATTTACAATAAAGCCAATTATACCAAAGCAATTTCTTTGAAAGTGAAAATGTACTTGGCAATAAACCTGATTCTGATAAAACACCACAAGCATTTCCTTCAATTTTGAATTTCTTTAAACAGTCAGAACTGACCCACAACAAATTCAAGAAAAACAAACAAATAAACATTATCCACAGATACACTGTGGATATTTTGAGCAAGTGTTGTCCAGTAGTCATAGTAGTTTAAATAAAGATCATTCAGAGTTCAGAGAGCAGCTTTTAGCTTTAAGGAGGTGATCTCAGAATGAGGGACTGGCTGGACCTGCAATAAGGGATGCAATTGTTACAAACTCCTTTTGAATGGTTCGCCAGTGATGATTGTCTTTGTAATTAATGTAGTGATAAGTGACAGTCGAAATTAAATACATTATTTTTATTTGATACTGACAGCTGTTTGGGGGATTGTATTTTCTTTTACTGTACTGAAAGACTTATAGGTAATGTCTACTAGACGCTATGCTTGGCGAACACCAAACACAGCACATCACCACAAACACTCCACCGTGAAGCATGGTGGTGGCAGCGTCATGCTCTGAGGATGCTTCGTAGCAGCCGGCCCTGGAAGGCTTGTAAAGGTAGAGAGGAAGATGAATGCAGAAAAATATCTCCAAATCCTGGAGGATAATCTGACTCAGTCTGCAAGAGAACTACAATTTAGGAGAAGATTTATTTTCCAGCAAGACAACGACCCCAAGCATTCAGCTATAGCTCTGCAGAAATGGTTCAAAGACAACAAGGTGAATGTTCTGGAGTGGCCAAGTCAAAACCCAAATCTCAGTCCAATCAAGAATTTGTGGCTGGACTTGAAAAGATCTGCTTTTAACTGTTTATTAGTAGTTTATTGACACCCAGCTCCAAAAGATACCATGGTCATTATATTTTTATTTTCACTCACCTTGCCAGTGGCCTGTTTTTATCATTTCTTGTGTCATTGGTGGCCTCGTCTTTTCTCTGCGAAAGAAGACCAGGGTTATAATTCTTGCCTAGGTTATGATTTACTTTAACATACTCTCCTTTTTAATTAAAATGTTTAACATTACAACAGCTGTAAAAGTTGTGAGAGGATATCCAGGACAAAGGAGAGGTGACTTGATGTTAATATATTCATAAATAAGCAAGCTATTGAAATTACAACATTGCAATGTGCATAATTAATTGATGCATTAGAGTAATCAGTTAATTAGACAATCGTGTAATTGCAGTAAAATGCAGTCTGTTTAACGGCTGCAGTCTGAGCCGTTCTCCTGGACCAATTCCAAAACCTTTGGCGCCCATTGGTCATTTAAACCCCAAAATATGTTAAAATAGGGCCAGGTAAAATACCACAAGTACTGTGTGCACAGAGGAAGAAAATATTTCAGGCTGCGATTTACACACAGTACTTACCCGTAGATACATTTACTGCTGGTTTTATCTGCACATGCAAGGAAATATCACCAGAATGAAATTTTGGTAGGGTCGTAGCTGAAATAAATGGATGATCTACCTGTGCTCGGATATAAAGGGCAAATCTTCCTTTCCTTCTGGATTTAATGGACCTTTGGATATCCTCTGGTGTCAGTGTATTTAGTTTCAGTGGCGTCAGTGTCTTGGTTGCGTCGGTGGTAAAGACATCAAACCGTTCGGGCAGTTGAGGGAAGGTGGACTTCAGCAGGTCAAGGAAGTCGGGCTCCTGCAGGGCTCGAGGACACCTCAGTTCCTGCACCGGGCGCTTTAACACTAACATGCAAACAAATTCATCACAATGTTTAAGGAACAAAACGTATTTTAAAGACATTCTGACAAAACTGCAAATCATTTTTCAGCCCAGTGGAAGCTGGAATCTTAAATCTACAGTATCTCATAGTAGTGAGTGTACAGCTTGTATAACAGTGTAAATTTGCCGTCCCCTCAAAATAACACATCACACAGCCATTAATGTCTAAACTGGCAACAAAAGTGAATACACCCCTAAGTGAAAATGACAGCAGCTCCAAACGACAGACCTGTGGGTTATAGGAGAATCTCCTTTTTCTGGTCTGGTAATAATCACATTGCTAGGCATACTGAAACGAGCTAGCTTAGCGTAGCTTGAGTGATTTTCTTTGGAGGTGGGAGGGGCAGACAGCATGTTGCCTGTTGGCGTCGTTTGGGCTGAACTGTTGAGCACAGCTGCACTGAGAACATTTTCTTCCACAGAGTTTAAGCTCTACTTGTTCGGTTTGTAATGCGTACATCACCGAAAGTCTCGTACCGAACAGTTCAATACGAATACGTGTTTTGTTAGACCCCTATTTAAAATATAAGTAATTATCTGTTCTGTGTGCAGCATTAACAGACTACAACCTTGTGTTGTATAATGACAAAAATCAAATTCTAGTATTCTCAGCAATCATTCAACATCCTGAGTGGACATTTCACTTTTCTGTTGGACTCTTACCGCCTTTTGTGAGCACACTGGTCTGGGAGTCCTCCAAGAGACAGACTCTGAGGTTTAGATGACTCCGCCTCCTGCACTTCCTCTTCACAGACTGACCTCTGCAAGGAAATAATCCAGTCAAGTAAAAAATCTAAACAATCCTTCACTGCAGTTCTGCATCAGAAATATTGTGTACCTTGTATTTGTGATCTGCTGACCCGGGTCCCACAGACCCTCCTTATCTAGACTGGTGCTCTGTACTGGCTCCTCAGGAGACTCCTCCCCCTCATCTATATCCTCCTCTTCTTCAGAGTAGCCTGAGGTGTCCCGTCTCCCCGAGTCCTCCACATCTGAAAAAACATTAACAGTGAAAGAGTCAAACATTCTGATTCTGTAACAGTATGACGGATCAAGGCAACAAAATGTAATTCATGCACACTTTTCTTTTTAAACATACAGCAGTACAGCAGAAGAAAATGAAACTTATGTAAGTAAAAGTATTGATGCACAGGAGTCATCAGCCTCACACTTGCTAGTATAGAATATCCCCAGTAACAATAACTCTCAACCAAAACCAAGTATTTCAGGACACACAAAAGCCCACTCACATCAGACGCCATCACCCAGAGCTGCTGTCATGCCATAATCTGCCACACCGCCTGTCTAAGTGCACAGCAGACTGGAGCAGATCCAGAAATGAGTGGACTTTGTACTGAACTGACCATCGATTTTTAATCAAACTGAGAGATACTGAAAGATTCACACCCATGAACTACAGTACTTGTATGAGTGAATGTACTGGACGTACGTGTCTGCTGTGCTTCCTCCTCGGGGAGTCCACGTCCTCCAGCCTCGTCGTCTTCAGGTTCATCTGGATCAGAGACAAAGGTTGGGTCATGTATCCATCAGTATGCTACTCACCACACAGAAGACTTTACATGAGAAACAGAGAAACAGATGTAAATCTTCTGCTCTGAAACATGAAGCTTTGCTTTAGAAGTGAACTGTGGGATTAGATTAGGGGTGTCTAAACCATGTCCCACGTGAGTTGTCCTCAAATTAAAATGTTTTGCCCACTGACAATAATTTGTCACTATATGTCAACAACAATATTCACCCAAAGTCCAGTTGCCCTTGACTTTCTTTGGATAACTATGACCTGGATGACTGAGAACCTTCACACACATTAGTTGTGAACATCAGGTGTCAAATAATTTTATAATATATAAATAAATTTCTACTGCTTTAGTTAATTTAAAGATTCAAATTTTACACAAAAAGAAATAAACAAACAAGTGAGTTTCTAAAATAATCATTAACGATTAAACATTTATGTTACAGTTATAAAACGGGCAGCTCAAATCAAGCAATCTGATTGGTTCATAGTAGTGATATACTGAGCGTATAATTCCTTCGCACATATCTGTATCACTCTGCAACAAACAGGGTTAGAGTTATAATCTGAGCTTCTTGGAGGTCTCACACACCATTTACACATGTAATTTAGTGGCGTCTAAATAGAAATTGTGTGTAACCTGATTTCTGTATTGTTTCTGAAAGATCATTATCTTAGTCTAAGATAATGATCTTTCAGAAACGATACAGAAATCACACACAATTTCTATTTAGACGCCACTAAATTACAACATTCAAAAAAACTACACTAGCCTTGGCCTCAACATTACATGCACAGGGAGCTTCAACATGGCTGTGAAAGATCTGAGGGACAAAGCAAGGAGATCTTTCTATGCAATAAAAAGAAACATTAAAATATATATTTCAATTGAAATCTGGCTGAAGATTTTCCAGTTTGCACTAGAACCAATATGGTAGCGAAGTCTGGGGGCCAAACCTTAATAATGAATTTGACAAATGGGACAAAACAATCATATAATCTTTCCACACTGAGTTCTGTAAGAGCATGCTGCAGGTGATGTAGATGCTGGATCATAAAACACCAAATAACCTGTGCAGAGCAGAGCCCGGCCAATACCCCCTCTTACTAAAGATAACTTACTTAAATTTTACAATCACTTAAAATCAGTTAACCCCCAGACATATCATCACAAAGCCCTAACATACCAGGAGCTGAAACCAGAGAAAAGTCCCCAACAGCCTCAGGACAGCAACACCAACCCAAGCAGACCAAACCAAATTATCAACAAGCAGAAAGAAAAATATGTTGAATACTGGAAAGAAACAACCAAAACACAAAGTAAATTACAATGTTATCTGACCCTAAAAAGAGAATTCACACTGGCAAATTACCTGAGTACAATAAAATGTCCCAAACCAAGAAAAATGTTGACAACATACAGACTGAGTGAACATAGCCTGGCCATAGAAAAGGGTCGCCACAGACAGAGCTGGCTACCACAAGAGGAGAGACTCTGCTCCCAGTGTGACACGGGACACTTTCTAACCTCATGCCCCAAATATAAAACACTAAGACAAAAACACTTTGCAAACATTTCCCAAATATACACCAAATTTGAATTTATATCACACACACTTATCCTAAACGCTTATTATATCACAGGTAAGGGGGATGCCAGCCCTTCACGTCAGGCTGAACAACGCCTCTTAACTGTGATATAAGCGTATACAGGTGCCGGTCGTATAATTAGAATATCATCATAAAGTTGCTTTATTTCAGTAATTCCATTCAAAAAGTGAAACTTGTATAATGTATACATTCATTCCACACAGACTGATATATTTCAAGTGTTCATTCCTTTTAATTTTGATGATTATAACTGACAACTAATGAAAACATTAACCTTCTGTAACATTACGATGGTTACCATTAACACTATTATAAATATCTGTACCATTTTTCATTTGGTCTATAGCAGCATTACCTTCACTGTGTGTACCTCTGTGTGTGTATTGTGTAGGCTGCCTCCCTCCCCTCTCTCTCTCTCCTTACATCTCTCTCTCCTTACATCTCTCTCTCTCTCTCACCCCAACCGGTCGAGGCAGATGGCCGCCCACCCTGAGCCATGGTTCTGCTCGAGGTTTCTGCCTCTTAAAAGGAAGTTTTTCCTTGCCTCTGTCGCCTAGTGCTTGCTCTTGGTGGGAACTGTTGGGCTTCTGTAAATAACATCACAGAGTACGGTCTAGACCTGCTCTTTTATGAAAAGCGCTGTGAGATAACTGTTGTTGTGATTTGGCGCTATATAAATAAAATTGAATTGAATTGAATTGAAAACCCCAAAATCAGTATCTCAGAAAATTAGAATATTGTGAAAAGGTTCAATATTGAAGACACCTGGTGCCACACTCTAATCAGCCAATTAAATCAAAATACCTGCAAAGGCCTTTAAATGGTCTCTCAGTCTAGTTCTGTAGGCTACACAATCATGGGGAAGACTGCTGACTTGACAGCTGTCCAAAAGACGACCATTGACACCTTGCACAAGGAGGACAAGACACAAAAGGTTGTTGCTAAAGAGGCTGCTGTTCACAGAGCTCTGTGTCCAAGCACTTCAATAGAGAGGCGAAGGGAAGGAAAAGATGTGGTAGAAAAAAGTGTACAATCAATAAGGATAACCGCACCCTGGAGAGGATTGTGAAACAAAACCCCATTCAAAAATGTGGGGGAGATTCACAAAGAGTGGACTGCAGCTGGAGTCAGTGCTTCAAGAACCACCACGCACAGACATATGCAAGACATGGTTTTCAGCTGTCACATTCCTTGTGTCAAGCCACTCTTGAACAAGACACAGCGTCAGAAGCGTCTCGCCTGGGCTAAAGACAAAAAGGACTGGACTGCTGCTGAGTGGTCCAAAGTTATGTTCTCTGATGAAAGTAAATTTTGCATTTCCTTTGGAAATCAAGGTCCCAGAGTCTGGAGGAAGAGAGGAGAGGCACAGAATCCACGTTGCTTGAAGTCCAGTGTAAAGTTTCCACAGTCAGTGATGGTTTGGGTGCCATGTCATCTGCTGGTGTTGGTCCACTGTGTTTCCTGAGGTCCAAGGTCAACGCAGTCGTCTACCAGGAAGTTTTAGAGCACTTCATGCTTCCTGCTGCTGACCAACTTTATGGAGATGCAGATTTCATTTTCCAACAGGACTTGGCACCTGCACACAGTGCCAAAGCTACCAGTACCTGGTTTAAGGACCATGGTATCCCTGTTCTTAATTGGCCAGCAAACTGGCCTGACCTTTAGCCTATAGAAAATCTATGGGGTATTGTGAAGAGGAAGATACGATACGCCAGACCCAACAATGCAGAAGAGCTGAAGGCCACTATCAGAGCAACCTGGGCTCTCATAACACCTGAGCAGTGCCACAGACTGATCGACTCCATGCCACGCCGCATTGCTGCAGTAATTCAGGCAAAAGGAGCCCCAACTAAGTATTGAGTGCTGTACATGCTCATACTTTTCATGTTCATACTTTTCAGTTGGCCAACATTTCTAAAAATCTTTTTTTTGTATTGGTCTTAAGTAATATTCTAATTTTCGGAGATACTGAATTTGGGATTTTCAGTAGTTGTCAGTTGTCAGTGTTAATCATCTCAATTAAATGAAATAAACATTTGAAATATCAGTCTGTGTGTAATGAATGAATATAATATCTGCGTTTTACTTTTTGAATGGAATTACTGAAATAAACTTTTTGATGATATTCTAATTATGACCAGCACCTGTGTATATACCACAGCCTGTCGTGAGCTATAAATAATGATTCTGCTGAGTAACTAGTTACTAAAGTCAGTAGTGGAGTAAAATATTTGAAGCTGAAATGTAGAGAAGTGGTATCAACTATGGAGAAAATTAAATTACAAAGTTACCTCTAAACTTAATTACTGTAGGCTACTCATGTTGGCTTTTTACTTCTGTTAGTTTTCACCATTTTTCCTGTTAGAGCATTATAGTAGTTTGTTTATAACAGATTGAAATTTAATAGTAATAAAATCGTCTTACTGCAGATTCAAAGTGCTTAAACCTCGACCATTAACAATAAAAGGCTCCTGGTCCAGGACTCCCCTGCTCCAGACTTGTATTATCTTAAATCACCAGGTTTTTGAATGGGGTTTGGTGCAGTGTTAAAACAACAGCAGCTGTTAAGCATAGTGTTTCATGTGGTTCCTAGTCTGTTCCCCACCTATCCTACAGAGAGAGACCCGAGGCTGCAGCACCGCCTCCAGCTGCCTCCTCTGCCGGTCGATCTCCTGCCTCAGACCCGAAGCCTCCTCCTCGTACCCGGCTACGGTTCTCTCCACAACCGCGAAGATTTCCTGCGCGGCTGTTGTCAGTTTCTCTGCGATGAATCCTCTCAGGATCTCCGTTTTGGACAGTTTATAGTCCACAGAGTCCACCGAGGAGACAAACAGCACGTTGACTGTTTCCATTTGTTCCGAGAAAGTCTCAAGTTTGAGCAAAAACAGAAATCGCCAGCGCGAGATGCGCACGCTCGCTAATGTTGTCCGACTGAAAACCATCTACAAACAAAGGTTCCGCTGAAGCTCCCTTGTTCTTCTTCTTCTTAGCTGCTAAGCATATTTCTGCCCTCCACAGGACATAGTTTGAACAAAATTCTTACTCTTACTAAAATTTGGTTAAAATAATAAGTACATTTACCACATAATACTCTGAACATATTTTTTTGTAATGTTTAGTGAATCCAAACAATACATTTTCCCACCGCAATGCAAATTGAGGGTAAATATGGACAACAATGACTTGAGACACTTTGCTCCAAAGTTTCCTGGTATGTGGGCAAGACCAAAATAATACATCAGTGTTTCATTTAGTTCTCCACAGAAAGTACAGCTGATGTTCAGGTCCTTTTTCAGTTTTTGCAGGTAATAGTTAGTGGGGTAAAACCTGTGAAGCATTTTGAATGAGATCTCTTTGACTTTCTTGGTTAAAAAAATCTTGTGGTGCAAAAGCCAAATTTTTCCCAACAAATCTCTCCAACAAATGAGGACCAATATGATACAGCAGGGGTGTACTGTTGAAAAAGTTGATGAATTGCCTTTTTCTTACTTTTATGTTGCAGCGAAAAACAGATGCTCCCAACAGTTGTTTCCTTCACATCCACCAGTGTTAAAACCTTTGAAAAATGAGATGACAGCTGAAGGTATCGCATCAAAGACGATGGAAAAGGTGAAAATAGGGATACCATAGTGATGAATAAATTCAATGTAGTTATAAAGTTGACCACGTTGGTTAAATAATTGATTTACAAGCAAAATGTTATTGTCATACCACTGTTGAAAGAAAATGAATTTGTTTTTATACAAAATACATCTGTTGTTCCAAATATAAAACCTATGAGGAGTGAAGTTGTGCTTTGTAAATTAGGAACCAAGCCAGTAGCATTTGTTTATGAAATGAAGAACATTTAAGAGGAATTTTTTCAATATTATAAGAGCAAACCAACAAGAACTGGAGACCACCAATTGTATAAAAGACATAATGGGGAATAAAATTCCACAGACTGGTTGGGCAATTTAAGTACCGCTTAATCCAATTAATCTTGAAAGTGAAATTTAAAGTAGTAAAGTTGAGAAAACTAAGGCCACCTTTACTGTACTCATTCATTAATACAGGCTATTTCAGATAATGATTGCGATTTTTCCATACAAAATCATAAAGGACTGTATCTATGGTTTAGCACATTTGTTGATCTATATATATAAAGATATTCCTTCGGCCTTTGAGAGTAAAATCCTGCCTTTCAATGATAAATCACGTAATAGCCACAGGTTGAATTTCTTCTTCATTTTATCAACAATGGGAGTGAGATTAAACAAAATGCTTACATACAATCATGTGTCACGCAGAAACTGCAGACCTGCCTTGGAGATCATGCTCTACTGTCTACAAGTCATTTATCAATCATCTTGGTTTAACAGAGAACGACAGAAACATCTTTTCCTAACTTTTAGCCCTGACTTCTTTCTTACACCCTCTCTGATCATTTTGTAATAAGTAAATAAAATGGAAATAAAAATACAATTAAATATGTTACATTTAAGGTTCATTGTGTAAGACTTAGTGGCATCTAGTGGTGATGCTTGTGAATTGCTACCAACTATCCAGTCTACCACTGCCCCTAACCTTTCAAAGAGCATGGGACAGCTACGGTGGCTGACACAGCACAAAAGGTGTCTCTTCTAGCACAGAGTGGCCAGTCAAGAAAGGATGGTTCTTTAGGTATTAAGAAATTATATTTACTTAATTATTCGGTAGATCCATATGTTTTTGTGACTTGGCCACTGACAGATAACATGAAAAATGTAAGCAAAGAGTGTGAAACACTGTCACTGTTTCTGCACCACAGTCCATTATAAACCACACATTTGATAAGTTTATACAAACATTGACAAGGGAAACACATTTATTCTCTCTGTGATTATGGACCATCGCCAAAACTGCCCGCCAACAATAATATCGGGCCCGCGGCCAATTATGATCTTTGATAGCGTCAAAAATGATAAAATAAATAAATAGATGAATACTTTGATAGCTTTGCTTAAAAATAGATCTCAGTCATGACAGCAATCATTACTCACATAATCACTTCCTTCAGTGGTTTTGCCTTCAAAATAAAAGAGTGATAATGCAGTATTTGGAGTTGAAATGAGCTTTTACTTTGAAAAATTCTGAACAACATTAAAAATGTCTGTAGCCTGCATGACACACCTCTGAAAGAGCCGTCAGAAAAAGTGATTCCCCTAAATGTCCTCTGCCTGGAGATACTGGGGAAATGCAAAAGCGTCCGTACGTTGATGGATGAGGATCAAACACAGGAACAAAAACAGTGCAGCCGTGATCTGAGAAACATTCGCTTTGTTTTGCTAATTCCTGCACTTTACCAACTGAGCTGACCAATCAACATGTTGATAAGTCAATATTATGGCTTATATTCTTATCCACAATCTAATGGTTGAAAATACTGAATTTACTTGCAGACCCTTGCAGTATGTTATCACTACTCCTTCTTCTTCTAATGTACGTATTTAACATAGTGACAAGTGTCTGCACTGTCTGAAGTAGAAAAAGAAGAACGTAGTGACGAAATGTGCTCTGTAGCGCTGTTTGTCCGATTTCAGCTACTGTAGAAACATGACGATGCAACATGGCAACGTCCACAGCACGGAGTGCCCGCGGTTATGTACATAAAAATGTCTCAATAAAAACATAATGATTTATTATGTAAGGTCTTTATACACCACTGAAAACAAGTTAAGATCTTACATTGCATTTCTGTCAATAGATCCTCAGAAATATTACACACTGAATCTTTAAAATTAAAATGAGTCAAGTAAATACTATAGACTGGGTTGTAATTATTTTCACAAGCCTCCGCTTTCAGGTCATGGTTGGTGGCCGTGACTTACCGAGAGAATTATAAATTGTCCCCCATATTCTCTTGGTAACTGACTGGGACGAGACGTGCTGTGCCTGAATTCCCAACTTGCTGCAAAGTCTTTGAACTGAGCACTGGCATCATTATGCGAGAAGACAACCTCAGGAATGCCATGTCTTGCAAACACTGCAACGTCTCTCAACTTTTCTGAGAACTTTGAGAAATCGTCCAAACATAGCAGATGCCACCTCTCTCCCATGTCAATACAAGTTGTGAAATTGTAATGTTGTAAAACATTTGCTTTTCATGCCATTACTGCTACTTCTACTCCTCCACATCTCTGAGGGAAATATAGTACTTTTTACTTCTCTACATTCATTTGATAAAGTTAGTCACAATTTACTTTACAAACACAAAACATGTGTGAAAATGTACAAGAAAAGCAATTTATCAACTCATGTGAAGTGTAGCTGCTTTTTTAATTAAGCCGTTGAAGTCAGACGTTTCTAAACACTCCACAGATTACATATGAACAAATTACAGTTTTGCTAAGTCTGTAAGGACATCTACCTTGTGTGAGTTTTCCAACAATTACAAATGACTATATCTGTTATGAGTTTAGTTTTGGGTTATGTTCGAGTTGTACTTTTCCCTGTGTGTTTCTGGTTTTTGCCTTTGCCTTGTCCATAGTTATTACGTCTTTGCCGTAGTTCTTAATTCTGTGCTTTAGTTCATGTTGGTGTTATTCCTGGTCTGTGTATTTGTTTCATTATTTGATCTTGTCTTGTTTAGGGTTTTGTAGCTTAGTTAATTTTTATGTTTATCTGCATGTTTTTTACCTGTTCGAGTCCTTAATCCTGTGTCTCCATGTTTTAGTGTAGTCCTGTCTCCTGTTTGGTCCGGTCTCAGTCCATGCCCTGATTTTGCAGTCTTTCCTCGTTTTGTGTTTTACTTTGGTAGATCTGCCCTGGTGTGTTCCTGTGCACTTTACTTCCTGTTTTATTTTGTCATCATACTAAGGGGAATAAGCAGAACAAGCCATGAGTGCTTACCTCAATTAGATTTGTAGAAATCAGTTCACCCCCCCCCCAAATCATAGCCTGTATAAAAGAACTGGTCACCACAACGTCACCCATTGGTTTGTGGACGGCCGTTTTGGAGCCTTGAGTTTGGATATTTGGAAGAGACGGTGGCGCTAGCAAACTTGGTTAGCTAGGTGCGTCTGTAATTCATGTTAATTGTGGATTTTAACCAGGATGCTAATTTTCGCTATCTTAAAACAGGCTTAACACAAAACGCAGTGGCAGCAACTTGTCAATCCCAGATAGTCCCGCCCTAAAGCATACGCTGGTCAATTTCCTCTAAATGAACATCATGCCGTATTGAAGAAGACTTGAAACTAACGATTTATATCATAAACCCATTAGGAAAGTGTTTACTGGTGTAATAAATCTGGGGTCATTTAATCATTATTTCTGGATGGACTTCTTTTTGCAACTAGAGGAGTCGCCCACTGCTGGCCGTTACATAGAATGCAGGATTAAGGCACTTCTGCATTGGCTTCACTTTTCAGACCCGCAGGTGAATGCCATAATCCTCTGTAGCCACTTGCATATCTGTCCTCCTCTCTTTTCGATTAGCTTAGAGTTAGACAGCAACAATACTTTGGGAAGGAAAACATTGCCCAGTTTCTATAAAGCTTCCACTGAATCAGTCTAAAAATAATTTTGATAGAGGTCTACCTGGCTCTATGAACTGGGTTAAATGCGCAAACTGTTAAAAGTAACTCTCTTCTTAATATCTTATTTTATGCCTCGTGTGAGCTTTGTTTTTTTTTTATTTTTCTGTACACCACTTTGTTTCCACTTTAATTGTTTAAAGTGCTCAATAAATAAAATTTGATTGATATGTCGCAACAACTGACAGTTGGCTCAAACTAATTCCAGATAAAAACACTGTGTAAACATTTACAGTGCACGGTGGGAAAAGGATGTGAACCCTTGGATTTAAGAACTGGTGGACCCTCCTTTGGCAGCAATACCCTCCACCAAACATTTCCTGTAGTTTCAGATCAGACCAGAACAACGGTCAGGAG